GGATTCGTGTTTTGGTAACTTTGATATGCTATTTTCTTTTCTATAGGTTCAGTCATTCAGTGAGAAGACTTATCAGAGTACAATAGCTTTTTGGTAACTAACTACATTACAACATGTTATCTAAATCACTTATTCTCTTTAATAAATGTCTTCTAAAAAGACTCAACACTTTTGTGACATTTTCAGCCGATACATAGTAAGAGGGGTGGTGAAGTCACGAGTCACTGGTTTCCAAGAATCAGTTCGATCTCCTCACCCAACTCTCTTGTAAGCTTATCAGCACGATCGTCGTGCCCGCCAGCAAATGTGTAAACTCTGTATGCAAAATGAAATGCCCTCCACAGCGTTTTAGCCCATCCTGGAGTCTTATTCTTTGTGCTTGGCTTTGCCTCGCGTGATTCTGCAGTGGTTTGCGATGCAATCTTTGCTTCTCTCTTTTCCTGTGAGGTTGAACCAAGAGACTCCAGTTAAAAGGGTTTCAAAACAGTGATCAAAACATTGTTAGTCTTACCTTCAACGCCAGTTCCATGCAGCCCGAAGAGATATCAACCATTAATTCCTTAATCTGAACAAGGATATTGAAGTCGAAATGGATGTTATTGCTCTTGAACTTCTTTTCCTCTTCTGCTTTGATTTGGTCTAGAGTTTCAATCTCTTTTCTGATCTGCTTTTTTTTCATTGTCCTCAGATCAGTTCAGCTAACTGGGAGAGGAAAGAACCAAAAAACAAAGGCTAAGAAACTGCAAAATCAGAATTCCTATGACTTGCCTTTGTAAAGTAACGTTCAGTCTTATCGAAAAGTTGGTTCGCTGGAGACTCTATCTTCCAGTTCTTTAGCTCTTTGATCATACCATGCAGCTTCGCGTATAATGCAGCAGCCATTCTTATTGCTTCGAGTTTCTTATGCGGAAATCCTTCACATCTTGCTAGAACCTAACCAAGTTTAAAGATTTTGGTGATCACAGAATCAGAACATGATGAAGAAAGTTTGTGACATCAATAACTTATGTTGTTATCACTGACCTGTGTTTCATCTTCTAGTTTCTCAAGAACTGATTCAACACGATGGTGAAATTTCTGAAGCTCGGTCATGTCCTTGTTCTTGAACTTGGTAATCTCTGTCTTAAGCTCATTGATTGAACTCATATACATTCGAACATCCTCTTCTATCTTCTGAAAATAAGGAGACCTGTGTAGCCATAAAATATAAAGCAAGTATGAGTTTTTGACTATTTTGTTGTTTATAAGTGAAGTGAGATGTGATTTACTTCTTTGTTATCTCAGCAAGAGCATCAGCCATTCCTTGCTTTCCGCTGGCTGGAGCGCTTCCCATCCCGCCTTTACTTCCTCCTCCAGCGCCACGAGATCGTACTTCTGGATTCTTCCCTTCTAATTTCGCTTTGAGGAATCTAAAGAGGGCCCCTAAATGGGTTGATCTCTTCAGTTTACTAGTTGCTTTCTTGGCTCCCAAGCCTCCTCTTGCGCCAGGTGGAGGTGGTGGTGGAGCAGCCGGGCCTTTTCCGGCAACTATTGGAGGTTGGGGTAGTGCTGCAGCCCCTGGAGGTGGAAGAGGCGGAGCAGCCAGTCCTTTTCCCGCAGCCATTGGAAGTGGCGGTGGTGGCAGTACTGCTGCACTCCTGGGAGGTGGAGGTGGAGCAGCCGGTCCTTTTCCGGCAACCATTGGAAGTTGCGGTGGTGGCGGTAGTTCTGCAGTCCCTGGAGGTGGAAAAGGCGGTGCAGCCACTCCTTTTCTCACAGCCATTGGAAGTGGCGGTGGCGGCGGTAGTGCTTCACTCCCAGGAGGTGGAGGAAGTGGAGCAGCCAGTCCTTTTCCGGCAGACATTGTAAGTGGTGGTTTCACCGGGATTGCTGCATTCCCTGGATGTGGAGAAGGAGGAGGAGCCAAAGATTTCGGAACAATTTCAGATTTCAATGAAACTTTTGAGCAATTTTTATCATCAATCTGATTCTTCACACTATCTTGTTCCTCAAGAATAGCTTCTCTTGCTTTGTCCATCTTCTCAATCCTCTCTGTTTCACTCTGCTTCACTTTAACACTCTCAACATTACCATCACCGTTATTGCTCTGAGCTTCTTTCTGACTAAAATTTTGGATAGCGAGTCGCTTTACATCGATAGGACTCAGCTTTACGAGCGCTTGCATTCTCACATTCCTAGGAAGATTTGACACAGAGATTGCAAAGTCTCCAACTTTACTCGGTGGACTCAGCACCTTTCTTGGCGTGATCGGTTGCTTCGCCAATGATTCTGATCGGCCACTAGATGTTTTAGTACTCCGCGGACTAACCTTTTTCTTCATTTCAACATTGCTGATCTCTGTCGTATTGAGCCTCTCGTTCATCACCTTAATCATTCCATCTAAAGCAGCTAACACCTTTTCCACTGCAAGAACAATTTATAGAGATTGTGTAACAAGAGTGTATAATATTAATTATCATTAGAATCTGATATGTGTTACCAAGTCGATCAGACAGATTCTTCCTTATGTTACTGCTTCTATACTTGGATTTGATGATCCATTCGTGGTCATCGATCCATGAATCTCCAATTGATTTCAAAGCGTTGTAGAAATTGTCAAGCAACTGTTTGCAATAGTTTTGATCAGAATATAAAATCACAATTTGGTCAGAGCCTAAGTACTTCACTTAGACTCATAGACACAATTTAAGTTATGATATTTGTATAAACCTTGTCAACTTCTGCACGTCTCATATGGAGGATTTGCGAGCTGTCAATGATCTCAGGACAAAGCTTATGGAGATCTTTCATCGTACGCATCACCATCTACCATTAGCCAGAAAACAACGCAACATATCAGTCATATCTAATACAAATCAAGTGGTGGTTTTTTACCAAGGAATCGATTTTTCACAGGGATTTATACCTATCTGATCGATGCTTATGAACTGGGATAACTTTTTCTTTTTTGTAATTGCTACGATGCGATATAGCTAGTTACAAATTCTTCACATTCTTTATTCATTATGCAAGTAACATATTTTGTTAATGGAATTTCACATTTTCACCTCAAAAAATAAAAGAAATTCTCATGGTGATTAGTTTGTGAGTTTAGGTCAAAGTACGATTATCTGGGAAAAAAAGAAAACGTAGGGAAGAGGTTAACGTACATTGGTTATAGAGAGATAACCGGTAAGAGGAGGAAGATCAATGATGGTTCTAAAAGTGATAATCATTCTTCGAAGCTCGACCATGAGAATGAAATTTCCTGTCCATTTGCTTGATTGGCAGCTCGAACTGGAGATCTTTGTTGCTTCTCTGTGAGCATTCTTGATATCTTCAGCCGACGAAGCAACACGTCTTGAAGTTTTTTGGCTCACGAATGGAGATCTAGACGCCTTGATCGATGATGGTGAAGAACCCGAATAAGGTTTAGCATCCTGTTTGGTCTTGCTACTTCTAAGTGGTGTTTGCCCTTTTAAAGGCTGTAACAAAGTTCATAACAAACAACATAAATAAGAAAAACCATTAGAGATATCAAAAACAATTTAAGCGAAACCGATAAAATTGCTTTACCTCGACTTTACAGGTTTTCACACTCATCATCAGCGGAGAAAACAAAGAGAATATGGAGTGTTGTGATATACTTGTAATAATTACATAGACTTAATCGAGTGTAAGAGATAAAACATGTGAAGCTTAGAGTGTTATTTAACGCTAACGCTCCAGATAATATTGAATCTTATCACTTATGGAATCGCGACATGTGGCATCTAAGGATAGATTTTTTTCAACATTTGTTTTTGTCAGAAACAAGAAATTACAAGCATAAATGGAAAAATTAATTTAATTTTCAGAAGGATCCTAAAAATAGTATAATTGAGTATAGTAAAATAGGTAAAAAGAGGATATCTGTAAAAGAAAAGTCAAGCTCCAATTTATTTAATTTTATTTCTAATTTGAAATTGAAAAGTTAGGATTTTTTTCCAACTTTTTACAACGGCAACAAGAGCATAAACTCGGACAAACAAACATGTGACAGAAGCAAACGTGCACTCCGTTCGTGCGGCCTAAGATTGTAGGCTTTAAGCTAAATACGTCTAGAAATTTTCTAATTTTCTACTATGCTAAAAAAAAGTATTATTTTTTTTTATTTTATTTTACTTGACATCAGAGTACTGTGTTAACAAAAAACAAAGTGTAACGCTTTCTTCCTTTCAGAAATGTAAAATGTTCCTAATCAGTAAATGGGAAAGATGAGAAAAACGAAGAAGATAATATACCTTTTTCTTTCTGAATGAAAAATATTAATTTTATGGGTCAATGGTTCAAACATATCTCTAAGATAACAAATGGAAATCTAATAATAATAACAATAAGAATAATTGTGCTAATAGAAAGTAAATATTGTTGGTAAGGATGAAATACATATTATAAGAAGAGATATTTTGGATGATAGATGCATGCATGTTCTATTCTTACCCAAAAGAGAGATAATTATGTACCATATATATATGGCTTTATATTTGACCAACGATTTAAGTAACAAAAATCTACGGTTACCAATGATTTATATAAAAAAGAGAGTTGGCAAAAACCACCCAAAAAAATGTGTGCGCCAAAAAAAAAAAAAAAAAAAAAAAAAAAAAAAAACCGCCAAAAAATTTTCTCCATGATACTCTTTTGTGACCGCATACATGTTCTTGTAAATAAAGTTCGCATATTCATATGTTGCCGCTAATTAAAAAAAAAAAAACGAGTAAGAAATAGATCTTTTGCGGTATTATATATCAAAGTTCTGTTTTCAATATTAGCTACTTTTATATATTCGATTTTCTAGTTTTTACTTTTTGGTTGCAAAAAACAGAAGTGTTTGGAGCTACCGGTCTACCAGTTAGGATTTCACCAAAAAGCTATCTATTTTTCATTTGATCATAATCTTAAAGTGTTGAAAGTTTTCTTTTGATCATTATGATCATGACATAGAATGTAACATAAGTCACATACAATTTCTCTCTCTTACAAGTTACAATCCTTTCTTACCCCTATCTCGTGTCTGACAAGTTAACGAAACAAAACCCAAAATCTTTCAAAAATACTCATAATTAGATTACTAAATCATCTTTTAGATCGTTGACTTTATTCTTTAACGCGACGGTGGAGGAGGAACTCCGCTAAGAAACGCCGAGAAAAAGGCGAGAGAGCTGCTTGGTTTGAAGCAAGGCACCGCATGTCCAGCTCCTCTGAACGTAGCAAACGTTAGACCTTCGTATTCTTGAAGCCACCCACTTACCTGTTGTAGCATCATCAAGAAATTTAACCGGTCTAACAAATCTCAAATTAAGAATCTAAAGAACTGGTCAATTAGATCCATAGAATACCTGTTTCTCATGGTACCATGGCCTCCAAGCTGTCTTGATGGGTAATTCGAGTGCGCTTAAGCTATACCGAGTCGCAAGTACTGGAACTCTTCCGTCTGTGTCACCACTGATCCATCACAAAAGCAAACCAAAAACCAACGGCTTAGAAAATTGGAGAATAACAATCTTTCTTTCATAGTACTATTAACCAAACCAAAGTAGAAGAAGCTAAAGTGTATGGTGGTTACTTGCGTAGGAAGCAAACGAAGTGTTTACTCTGTTTTTTTTTCCAGTGATCAAAGTTTTTAATTGTTGTAGTCACTTACTTTTCATCAGAAAATTTTAGTGAAATTAATCAGGAATTTACTTGGTTTTCGTGAACGTAATTTACCTGTAAACCCATATTCTTAATCCTCCGGCGATGAGTTTCTCGTAAATAGGCAAAACCGACGGGTTTGAACTAGTCCAATTATTAAAGATCTCCATGCTGAAGTTTTAGAATACCAAAGAATATTCAGACAAGTTCCTTCATATATTACACACAAAGAAACTATATATATAACTCGTAAAGAATATTGGGGAGATCGAGTACTTGCAAATGCTCCAGTTCTTGAGATTAACTCCATCACTGGCATGAAGAGACTTCTGAACATCTGCTCTGTTGTAAAATACTCTCGCGTAATCATCTAAGCACGGATCATATCCACCCATGAGCCTCGGTGGCATCTAAGGCATCCGAACAAATATAGAAATTTGTTATAACTTATAGCTTCCTAGCTAATCATGTTATATAAGACTTAATGTTATACACGTACCCTCTTGGAGCTACTGCGAGAATTTGTTTTGAATTGCGCTGAATCAAAGTAAGACGATCGGGCAGAATCTCCTATGCAAACTGAAGTATAGATGCTATAGATATCTATCTCGTGATACTGCTTAAGAACTTCTGCTACGGCCTCATTGCATTCATCGTTGCTCCAAGTATTTTCGCTGCTGAAATTGCATGTCCTGGTTATGATCCTATGCGTCTCATCTGATATCACTGCATGGCTCCATGCATAATCCACCCAACCTCTCCAATCTTCTGCGTCTGATGTTTCAGGATTCCCCAACTATATATAGCAAAAAAAAAATGTACTGGGTCTTCTAAGCCGCATGACTTGCAACAATCATGCAAAGTTAATAGTAGATGCATGATCTATACATAAAAGTACATTCCCTAGGTTTATTTTGTATGATATTTATGGGTTAAAGATGAGAAATTCACACTTAAGATTGACACGTACCAGAATACCCTTAAGATTGATGTGAAACGATGAACCATTCTTCTTGTTATTGTTATTGTTATCGTACACAACCTCTGCTAACTCGGGTACGTATTTTCCTGCAAGTATATTTACATTCATATAATAAAATTAAATTCAAAATGAAAACCAATAAAAATGCGTAAAAAGGAAAATACTATACTCCAAATTGATTTATTTAGTTACCTGCATAACTTTCACCCGCGATATAGAACGTACTTTCTTTGTGTTCTGGGAATTTCTCAAACCAGTTGCAAAGAAAAGTGTATGCGTCTCTTGCTGATAGAAAAGAGAATGAAGCATATAGTTATGTTTATGAAGTACGTTACGTACGTCCTCGTCTAATTAGGGACAAAGACTATAGATAATATTTATAATAATAATGGACTTGCCGCATGTGAAAAGTTTTTTAAAAAATAATGAACCTAGCTACCTGTAAAGTCATCTCCAAGTTTTTGATAATCGCTACTTGTGTTTGAATACGAAAAGCCAACACCGACGGGAGATTCTAAAAACAGCATGTTGGCCTCTGCATCAGCAAATCAACCTTTTTACATCATTTAATGTCATTTTCAATTACATATAAATATTGTGATGCTACGAAAACTATATAAAAAAACAAAAACAAATTACCTTTATTCCATGCGTATGGATTAAAGTTAAGTCCGTTTCCGTTGGTGTCCACGAGAAAAGGACCAATTTCTTGTGTTGCTCCATATCCCACAGAAGAACAACCTGGACCTATATATATATACACATTATATATAAAAAAAATTATTCAAATTGTGTTCTCCCATAAGACGACATAAAAAAAATAACAAATCAACACTAGGTTTTATTGTAAGAGCTTTGATTCGTTGGAATGACAAAATCGTAGTGAAATATATATATATATATGCCGAATTAATAGTTGAGCGACAGAATGACAAATCATTTTTTATATATTTTAAGTTAGTACGGTAAAACAGCGAAACTGATAAACAAAAAACATAAACCATGATCCTGTATATGTAGTTTATAAAGAAATATGTAGAATTTACATGTTATCGATCAGAATGAAAATTGGAAGAGTATAATAGTTGCTCATGCATGCATGAAGATATCAAAAGATTGGGTTACCTCCATTAAGCCAGAGGACTAGAGGTTTCTCTTTAGGGAGATCCATGGCCTCAAAGAACCAATAAAACATAGCTCTTCCGTTGGATTCATCCACAGGAACATAACCGGCATAATGCCTGAAACTTACATCAGGCTGTCCAGGTAAATCTGTTACTAAATCTTGTTCGTTGGCCAACAAGCTTCTTTTCGGGCTATCAAACCGGTGTTGTCTAGTGCATAAAACCACCGGGGCTAATATTAAAAGAGTGGTAAAACAAAAAGAAATAAATAGATTATATATGTTATTGGTGTGATAATGATCCATTTGAAGTATAAGTTGAGAAGAAGATCAAGAATTGTAGTGAGATGATAAGAAAGATCTAAGACTTGGATGTCTATTTATAAGCTAAGATCGTGAGATTTTTGTTTGCTTTTGTTTAATTTTCTTTAAAAAAAAGTTTAATTAAGTGGATATGGAAGAATAGTCCTATGTGGCAATTGGTGGCTTTAATTTGTTTAGTTGGTCGAATAATTCCATCTTAAAAACTAAGATTTATAGGGACAAATTCGAGAGAATTCGTATACTTGACTTAAATAGAGTGGATGAAGCACTTTCTTTTTGATGGGTTTGAACCACGTCATGGCCAAAAGTAATATGAATTTAACTAATATATAATCCTATTAACCTAAGAAAATTGGCGGATTAATCGACCCCCACAATTGCATAAGCTTAACTAGTGAGGAAATATATAATTAGGGAAATTGGAATAGATATATTGATCAAACTTTAATACGTACGATGCCGAAGTCAAAGTAGCTAGGGTATATAGATTTTGCAGTACCAAACCAGTTTAGGAGTGGTGTGTTTACCGACTGATGAAGATTATTTTATGTATTGTGGATCCACAATATGGTTACAAAAAATTTGGACTATAAATTTAAAAACTTTGGAATATATGATTTTTGCTATGTACTTATTTGGTTAGTAAAAAGCTCACTCGTACTATTATGCACATGGTCTCTTTAATAATGTATCGCCCACTAAATTCGAAGTCAAATACATGTTTGTACTTAGTACTTAGTAGCTGTGTGGGTTTATAATAAGTCCACATTTTTTAGGATTAAGCAATAAATTAACATCCAACATTGCATCTATCGACATTATATTATTTTCAAAATATTTAAAGGTACAAAACCAGAAAATAAAATCATGAAAATAATTTTACTTCCAATTTAAATCTTAAAAAAAAAATTTACTCCTACAACAAGCCTCCAAACTTAAATTTTTGTTTACTAAGTAATATGTTGCATGAATTTTGCAGAACATAATTAATGAGTTAAAAAGGAAGAATTATCAATAAGATTATATGATAAAGTTTTACGAACCAATATATTATTATCAAAATTCATGAAACTAACGAATAACTTCTCAGAACTATAGCTAACGTCATAGACGCATAGGTTATATAAGATGTGGATATTCCTAAGAAAAAGATGATTTATTTCATTAAAAAAAAAAAAAGAGAGACATGTCACGTTGCAACATCTTTGAGCAGGACTGACTGTTGAGTGTTGAGAGAAAGGCAAATGGAGGATATATTCCAAATTGATGGTGCCCTTTAATTTTAAATCTAATTTTATAAAGATTTTTTTCTGTGTATATGTAAAAAAGGAGTTAAATAAATTCATGGGAACCTCATCATTAGCAAAGTCGAATGATGTAGTTTTGTGGCGAACCTTGTGCGTTGGGATTCTTGAATTCAATTCGATCGTTTTAAGATAGCTAATTAATTTAAAGGTGAAGATCTAAATCATCTAGAAAATAAATCAAATCTTTGGCCTTTTTTCTCACCACTAAAATAGTTCGACGAGAGGAATCGAACCACGGAGTATAAGAACGTTAGCACACATCCACTATCCCCACTACACATGGAATAAATTAAATTAACTAATTGTATAATTGATTAGTTGTTTAATTAATCATGTTGGTCTAAACTAAAATATGGATTTTCAACTGATTTATACACTTGACCGTTATATAGTTCACTTGATAATGGTAAGTAGTAGTTGCATACATTTGTACTCTTGCATAATTCAAATGGACAAGTTGTGTACGTCTTGGTAATAGTTTAAATACACGTTTAGAAGATTAAAGAAAAATTAAGAAGCAAAAGAAAAGTGTTTTGTTGAATGGTTATGACATGGAATCCAACTTTCTTTGATGAGGAATGAGAGGGAAATCATGGCTGGATTATATATGTTACGTTTTATAATGGATATACTCATTTTTTTTGCATTTAACTGTTTTTTTTTTGTCTTTTTCTTGGGTAGGTAATGTCTATATGTATATAAAAGTGTTAATTGAATAATTAGCCATTTAGTGTAAGAATTGCATGCTCAACGAACATTAAATTTTTTTTTTATACATATGTCAAGAAACAGTTCATGGATAGCTTTCTGGTTGTCTATTTGCATATGTGAATATAGAGTATTTACAGAAACATTTAATTTTGGAGCTTCATTTTCTAAAAAAGGTTGCTATATATATATTTTCTTGAATAACTAATATACTAAATGAAAAGTAAGACATGGTTCATTTTTGAACTACTAGTAAATTTTTAGTATTTCAAATAATACCATTGTCATATTTTTATAACAAAATAGCGCATACAAAAATATATGAAGATTGTTTTTGTTATCTATGCAGTTTCACTGGCTAATTAAATCGTTACTGAATCAATTTTTCTTCTGTTGCCATAATGTCTAAGTTGCAACACACATATATAAGCCATAAATTTATGATTATGTTCTAATTAAAAATACCGATATTAGTGCAAATTTTATGGAGCGTCTGAAAACTCCAAGTAATATTTTGATATATGGAATGTCTCAACTATCTTTTAAAAAGAAAAATGCTAATAAACCTAAATTATATATACTCAATTAATCCTTCATACATGTATCCCTTGAATCGGTGAATGGCCATTAGCCTGGAACTTATAGGTTATATATTTTACTACTATAATAGGAGCTAATGAAAATCTAATCACCTTCAAATAGTTTTATTGCTATTTCAAAAAAAATTAGGTAATTAATTTTATTTTATATCTCTTAACGCAAATAGAAGATTAAAAAATAATGGAAGTTTGTGTTCAATATGGGGACCTCTTAACTGTTAGACCAGACTCCATAAGTCCATATTGGCCAATGGATGTCCACTTATATGATTCTCAGAACTATGGATACCCACTTAACTATGAATATCATTTAAATTGTGCAATTGTAATAACCTTATTGGCCAAAAGATTTTGGGGATATGTTTCTAGAAAAATTGTGAATGGTCAATGTATTCTTTAATTATCTAGGACAAAGACATCCCACAATAAGACACGCGTACTATTGATGGATCATTTGATAAGGAAAAATCAAGAAAACGATTTAGGGAGTTTATATTTACCATCCAATTAGAGATTCCATAACAAATTGTCTCCTACTAGTTGATGACTTATAAGACTCGTTGTTAACTAACATAAGATAGTTTTGGTTTTGTAAATCATTAGGCATCGCCTAAGTAGATTGATTGATTCTTATGAGGGTGACTTCGTCGAGAAAATGTAAATAGTAGTGCTTTGGAAAAAAATAATATTAGGTGGGATGTACATATCTTTGAAATTAAGATACCTTCAGCCGATAGGGTTTATCAAAAAAAAAAAAAAAATTAAGATACTTATTATTTTACTTTTTAAATAACTATACCACATAGTAATTATGTTGGTGTTATGGATAAAATTGTATTTTGTGTATATAGTGTATCATTCATATTTTCTTGTATTACTTTGAGTTTGAGCTCACAATTATGAAACACCTCTTAAAAATATCAAGCTCAAGCTCAACTGAAAGATTTATCCATAGATTCCTTATATCGAAAGAAAACAATAAACTTATCCATTGACAACGGAACATAAACAGAGAAATGAGATTATTAATGCTAATTTGTATATAATGCGCACTAAAAGAGAGAGAGAAGATGAAATGTTTGATCGTCATCACTATTAAAGATAGAAGGTATAGGTTCCACCTTTATCAATGAGTACTTGAAGGATTATAAGAGCATATGGAATCTAAACACAGTACTGCTAGTCTACTAGAGACATGCCCTTTACGAGAGTTTTGATCCTCATCACTTGGTCCCATCTGGAAATTCTTAGGTTCTATGCTACATTCCTTAGCCAATTCTATGACATAACTCGGGTTTATTACATTATTCTTCGATATATTTATTCGTATTCTCTCTTACTCCACATTTTTTTTTCTTTTTGTTTCAAAAACTACTCAATGTTTCGGATTAGATTTTACCTGGTTTTACAAAATTTTTAAGATATTTCTATGAGGTTTAGTACACGTCAAATTGCTTAAAATTGGTACCATAAATTTTAGAACGGACCAAAAGACCAACTGATCCATTCGGACTCTGCTCCGATAGACACCGCAGTCCACATAGCCAAAGGAACTCGTGAAGTTTATAGATTATATACATTAATGTGTGAGTCTCCATGCAGACAAACATATTTATTTTTTTGGTTTTTTACATGACACGTATTGATAGATAACTTTGCACGATGATAAGATGAGTTGTCATATAACAATAACATTGGATGGGACATGGATTAGATGAATTCCAACTTCACTAGAATGGTCAAAGTATTGCTAAAAATCTCACTTTTTTACCAGTGATTCTTATCCATCCAAAGATTGAAAGTGCGCATAACATAAGTTTCATTTGAAAGCTTTTTGACTATATCCACTCTCCCACAAACAAACACGAGATTTTATAGGTTATGGAATCTTTTATTAAGCACTTTTTCGTTCTAAAATATAATATTTGCGTAGATAGTTGAGAAGAAAATATATCAAAAATTGAACCTTCAAAATATATCTATCAACCCTAACAATATTAAACATATTATATCATTTTATAATATATATCTATCAACCCTTCCTTTTATTTATCAACAGACGATATTAAACATATTTGAATTTATCTAGTTCTATTATATCATTAAAGAGATTTGATCATTTATATTTTGGGATAGTAGTTACGTTGTAGTATTATTTTTTCACAAGTATTAACTTTAAATTGATCCAAGCTTATATATCTTGGTTCATAGAATCGTCGTTCTTGTTCCTCTCCTTCTCTGCATATCCTTATGATTTGTCCTCTTTTCATTCACGCGCTTGAAGTTGAGGATATTCGTGTGTTGTACACGCGTTTGTACGGAGCTTGAAGTTGTTGATGGAATACACACTTTGCTTTCAGTCTTTTTCCCTTGTCGTAACACTGTCAGAACTCTGAAACTTCTATGGTTGGGCTTTACGTTTGTACAAGGCCCAAATTGTTTATTTCTTCTAGATTGAGAGACTTTTTGTTTTCAATATTCTTGCAAATTCCCCATTATTCATGGAACAGAAAAATCTTTCGAGACCAAAAATCTCGAGTAAAAAACTTTCGACTTTTCCAAAAGCAAAAGAAAAAGTGAAAGCACAGCGAGTAAAAACGCCACAAACATTTTCATAAAACCCCACAAGAACACAAAAAATCTCAGGAAAAAAAAAAACCAATCTCTCTCTCACTCCTCGATGTCTGATCACCAGCTTGAAACAGAGATCAACTTCTGGGGAGAGACTTCAGAAGAAGACTACTTCAATCTCAAAGGCATCATCGGTTCCAAATCTTTCTTCACTTCCCCTCGAGGTCTCAACCTCTTCACTCGTTCATGGCTTCCCTCTTCCTCTTCCCCGCCACGTGGTCTCATCTTCATGGTCCATGGCTATGGCAATGACGTCAGCTGGACTTTCCAATCCACTCCCATCTTTCTCGCTCAGATGGGTTTCGCTTGCTTTGCTCTCGACATTGAAGGTCATGGCCGATCTGACGGCGTCCGTGCCTATGTTCCTTCCGTAGATCTCGTCGTCGATGATATCATCTCTTTCTTCAATTCGATTAAGCAAAACCCTAAGTTTCAAGGCTTACCTCGGTTTCTCTTCGGAGAATCAATGGGTGGAGCGATTTGTCTTCTGATCCATTTCGCTGATCCGGTAGGGTTCGATGGAGCGGTTTTGGTTGCTCCCATGTGTAAAATCTCTGACAAGGTGAGACCTAAATGGCCGATTGATCAGTTTCTGATTATGATCTCCAGATTCTTGCCGACTTGGGCGATTGTTCCGACGGAAGATCTGTTGGAGAAATCGATCAAAGTGGAAGAGAAGAAACCGATTGCCAAGAGGAATCCGATGAGGTACAATGAGAAACCGAGGTTAGGTACAGTGATGGAGCTACTTAGGGTTACTGATTACTTAGGGAAGAAGCTAAAAGATGTTAGCATTCCTTTCATTGTTGTGCACGGAAGTGCAGATGCTGTGACTGATCCTGAGGTGAGCAGAGAATTGTACGAACATGCTAAGAGCAAAGACAAGACATTGAAGATCTATGATGGGATGATGCATTCGATGTTGTTCGGTGAACCCGACGACAACATTGAGATTGTTCGTAAAGATATTGTTGGTTGGTTGAATGATAGATGTGGTGGTGGAGACAAAACCAAAACCTAGGTTTGAATTCATTGTTTGTCTGATTGTCTCGTTGTTGCTGTAATGTTTGTATAGTCATATTTTTTTATCATGGAACAGTATTTGGATTAAGTGACTAGAAATTGGTGTACACATTGTTCTTGCAGATTTTTCTTGATAATGTTCAATTTCATTCTATATACAGAGCAAAGCTAATCTTTTTCTACTTCCTTCTTTGCACAAAACTGTAATTAGTTCAAAAGATTTCTACTGCTGTTGAACTGCACAAACCCGGAAATCCTATATATGTACCTGAGTTTGTCAGAAAAGCTTCGATTGGATCGACCTCTCATGCCATGAACAGATAGTTCAAATCCTCCACAGAGAGATGCGATTCTCGACTACCCTTTTCATGTTCTCCGAATGCAGAAGCCACCATCATTCTCTTCCTTTGCTGTGCAGTTCAATGTTTGTGAGAAATTTAGCTAATAGAGCCTATAAAGGAAATATAAAATTAAAAACATTGCAGAAATGATGTCAGACCTGGAGGGCCAATATGCGATCTTCAACTGTATCTTTTACTGTGAACCGCACCACTTTTACTGGTCGTGTCTGTCCAATACGGTGGGCTCTGTCAATTGCCTGATCTTCCGTAGTTGGGTTCCACCATAAGTCCAGCATTATAACATGACAAGCTGCAACCATATTTAGCCCAAGACTAGCAGCTTTAAGAGACATTATCATTACAGACACCTGAAGTAAACAGCAAGAAAGCCAGTCATCAGTATATCTATCATCATGGGTAACATAATGTCCGAAGAAACAAAAAAGATGATCTTGAGATGTATACCTCAGGGAGAGTATTAAAATCTCTTACTGCTGCATCTCTAGCTGGTACCGTCATTTTCCCATCAAACCTTCTATACTGAATACCCGAACTCTTAAGACCAGCTTCAAGCAGGTCCAGCATCTTTGTCCATTGGGTAAACACAATGGCCTTTTCTCCAACTACCTTAACCAGACCATCCACGCTACTCTTCGCTGGAGTTGCAGGTAAACTGAATGACTTCTCAAGCTGCTGATTCTTCTCTCCATTTTCGGAGCTCTGATCCACATCATTCATTACAGTCGTCGGACTCTGTGGTCTACTCAGTGATTGCAAGATATCTAGAGCAGCCTTGATTTTGGATGAACCACATGGTAAATTTTCAATACAAGGATCACCACTCCCAACAGGATCTGAAGTGGTACGATCACATCGAGCATCAAGTTTATGCAAGCCAAGCATAGCATTTTCCAGTGTTTCTCTGGAAAATAATGATGAAATTTCAACTCCGACTTTGCAGAGTGACAGTGGGCATTGACTATTGTCGTGAGTAAGGCATTCATAAATGCACTGTTTACAGAAAACGTGACCACAGACTGAAACAACAGCATCTTTAGGTGCACCCTATAAGTGAAGAAGGGGCACAGAATAAGAAACTCATGGTGAACATAAGAGAGTTTAACATCTAAATGCAAGAAATAACAACTGAAGAATCCAAAGCAGTGCCTGAAGGATTAGTAATGAGTAAGAGAATCTTACATTGCAGATACCACAAAATGCCAGTGAAGCTTCTAAGCTATGCAGAAGAAAGGTTAGCTTCTCATATGGAAGCTTTTTAGCCATTTCAGCTGAGGATGACCATGACAAACTGGATACCAGAAGAGGGTGACCACACGCTTGACGAAGACGCAGCAGCATCAACAAAATATTTACATAATTTTGCTTCACCGTTCCAGCTTCTGCATATTCCTGACAATTCAAGTACATATAAATAAACAATCAGCCTTCAATATCATTATAGACAAAGTAGCAATTGTATATCCATGTTTTATATGCGTCCATAGTCATACCTTGAATTGGTCACGAGAGTCACACTCTAGTTTTGAGTAGAAATCACGTTCTTCCTTGGTAAAGTCTACTCTCCTCAGCTCAATGGACTTCGGAGGTAAAGAGATTACGGGTTTTCCATCAAGAAGTGTATCTAATAATCTTACTAGTTAAAATCCATAGAAAACTCTGATGAAACATATACTGAAATTTAGCTTAATATAAGAAGACTGACCTTTAGTTCGTCTAAGCATTATTTTTTTCAGGATAGCCTGCAACGTTTGATATCCTTTCACCGGGTAGCTACTGATTGGGTTCTTAATCGTTTCACAAAATGTTTGGTAGCTAGAATAAGGATCATACTTAAGGAATCTGAAGTAGCTGTAGAGGTCATCAATTGAATTCTGGATAGGAGTGCCAGACAAACACCACCTACGCTTAGCATGAAGGCCTGAACATGCTGTTGAAGCTTGGGTTTTGTAATTCTTAATGCTCTGAGCTTCATCTAGAACAACTCTATACCATGAAACTTGCGCTAGAGGGCCAGACAGAAACTCAACAGGTTCACAATCCATATGTTTCCTCTTCTTTGTGCCCTTCTTTTGAGAATTTGGCAAATCTTTTTTGATTGAGCCAAAACCAGCAGATTCAACTCCACCATCATGTCTGCCGCCCTTCTCCTCATCAGCTCTATCAAGAGGCTGTTTTGGGACTTCCACGCTCACAAGGGAATATGTGGTAACGACAACATCATATTTAGCTAGCTCGTGAGGATCCTTTGTTCTGTTGCAACCGTGGTACACCAGAACAGATAGATTTGCTTCAAGAGTAACCTTCTGGCGTAATTCATCAGCCCATTGTCTCATCAGACTAGTGGGACAGACAATAAGAGTTCCGGCAGCTGGCCTTCCCCTCATCTTGCATGAACTATCTTCGCTGACTTTGTTTTCATTGAAAACCACTTGAGAGTGATCAAATTGATTGCTTCCTCCATTCTTTGAATCTTCTTCACATGGTAGATAAGGTGTAGACCGTTCTGTCAGTATAAGCGCTATTGTGGAAACTGTTTTTCCAAGTCCCTGCAGAAGAAAATAATTACACAAGAAAATTTCATAAAATATCTGTTTGTTGTGTTGAATATACAGTAACTGCTAACATAAGATAGATTACAACAGTAGAAATTAACCTGATCATCAGCAAGAATCCCCCCAAAACAGGGGTTCCCGCTTGTCTCCTTTTTGGACATCCACGCCAATGCAATCCGCTGTTCATGTGTAATGTATGGTCATTTTCGATCAACACTAAATATTCTAACGAAAAAACCCCCATCAACTAAGAAAGCCATATCAATTGAATAATATTCAGGTCTAAATCATCTTAGTTAAGCAGAAGGACACTCTAAAAATAGACACGCAAAAACTATAGTTCTACATGTTTTTCCTTCAAACATCTGCAGGGGATGTTACCATATTTCTGATAAAATTCAAACCTGATGTCTAAGAAGCGAGACTGCCAAGACACCTTCAGGAGGACTTGCTTCAGAACGAGGCTGAGAAAGATCCTGTAATTTCAAGCAATGTCGTTAGACCTAATGAAACTGAAACAAAACCAAGAGAAAGGAATAATATGGGACAAAACTCATTATATGCAGTTTGGCATTATACCACACATGCATCCAACATCAGAAGACTTAAACAAATACCTCATCCTCATGCACAGAACACAAGAACAGACTTTGAATATTTATAATATGCATCCGCATATCAAGAAAACTTCAAAAAGAAAAAAGTGAGTGTGTGTGCCCAGGCGAGAACAATATAAAAAGGAACAGACATGGTAAGGGCAATTAGGAAAAAGGCTTACACGCCTTAACACCACCAACCTGCAAGTCTGCATGAAAATTCATGTTTCCCTTCTTTGACTCAAACTTCAAGCCTCCACAATTATTGAGAGTTTGACTACCTGTAGAATGTTCTGAAGAAAACACTGGTCTCTGCACAGCTGGATATTGGTGTGGATTAACAAATTCACCATAGGGTTCTATTTTATGGATTTCAGAATCATCATCTCCTTCGGGTATACGTTTTGATAAAAGACTTTCAACTGTTCCAGAGCTGAAACTAGAAAGATTAAAGCCTGTCCTCCCAATATATTCATGGTCCTCGTCTCCTACCAGATAATCCAAAGACTCAGTGCGTGATGTTGCTGGGTCAGGATCTGTTACGTTTTGCAAACATTCATCTGAAACAAAACAATAGCTCCTGCCGTCAATATCTTGACCAGGGAAACCAGTCTGAGGTGGGATAAATGGGTATTCTTTCCCGACATCTGCCTGATAGGAGATTGCGCAATTAGAGACACCAGACCATTGCATTGTCGTTCCTCCAACTGTATGAACATCACTACATATACTATAGTTCCCAGGAACTGAACTGAAAACCGTGTTCTCCAACTCAAGCTCTGGTTTAACCTTCGCATGGACTGCTTTATTCTCCTGAAAACTGCTTGAACAATTGTAAGGCTGCTCAAGCTCCTTATCAACTTGATGCCCATCAAAACTATTGTATGGATTGACACAGGCAGGGGAAACTGAAGGAATGATTTCATATTTGATGCTGAGGTCTCTTTTACTGCTCACATCAGGCCCAGAATTCCTCTCCGAAGTTCCATTATCGAATCCTACATGTCTGTCAAAAACCATCCGGCTTGCACCCTCTGACTGACAGTGGATAAACGCACTCTCCAAATCATTTGTAAGTTCTTCCTTATTGGGAAAGAACTGAAATGCGTAACCTGGAACCAAATTGGGGGAAACTTCTGATAAGGGTGCATCCATTGTAGGGTGGCCATATGGTTCAGAAGAGGCACAATCAATAATAGAACAGTAATTACGAGAGAAATGAGACACCAGGGAGGAATTTTGCGTAGCTCCAATTCCTGAGTCATTTCCAGGCATGGTATTGAAATAGGGAGTCATCATAGTGGGACTGCAAGGTGTAACTGCAACATGATATAAAAATCAGTGAGAAATTCTCTCGATATTAGCTCCAAATGATAAGGAACATGAAAATTTAAAGAGAATAAAACCTGAAAACTTCATAGAGAAGGTTCATACATTTGGATTCAATTCTCATGTCATCCAAGTTGGATACATTGCCATCTTCACAATTCACAGGATAGGAGACCACATTGCCACCATAGTCAGAGAAACAAGTCGCACTTGGTCCCAATCCTCCATTCTCTGGGTCAGCGAATGAACTTTGCACTGCTGTTTCACTTTGTGAAGCTTCAGGACCATACAAATCCGGGTAAGGAAACCAGCCAGTGGCCTGAGATCCTAAGCAAGGAACATAAATACTTATAAAACAGTTACCAAGATGATCCTAATGGAGTCCATGGTCCAATAAATCAAATCATTGAACTTAATTCCACACTTCAATATCCAGACAGAGTAATCAAAAGAAATGTGACAGTAAACAAAAGAGTCATCTACGTCTACTAACCACTTTGCATCAGTGTGTTCCTAAGCTCGCCAGACTCAACAACAGATGAACCAACCGGAGACACCATTTCTTGACTAACCTGGAAGTAATCACTCAAAAGTTCAGTTTCGATCAGACGAGAATCACTATAGTCCAGAAATTAGGCATTTGAACAACATCTCTTTTAGCGAAAACATACCTCCATAGAATCAGAATCCTCATCAAGAATCCGATAAATCGCGTCAATGTCAATCATCAAATCCTCTTCTTCGGCTCCAAATCCAAAGCCACCAGAGTAATCATCCGCTTGCAACCAATCGCAAGGCTGACACACTAAATCCTTCTCACTCATCACGAACCCAAACCCTAAGTCCGTAAATAAGAACACAAAAACCCTAACTCGACAAAATCCAGCACAAAACCCGAAACTCAGAGAAGAATTTTCTCCCGGAAAACTAGTCAAACACGAAATCGCCGACGCAGCAGATACAAAGACTTTGCGATTTGAGGGAAAAAAAACTTGCGAGTAGGTTTTTGGAAACGATGAATTTAATTTCCGAAGAAGGTTCTAGAGTAGTTGAGGATGATCCACACGACTTTTATAATGCCGGTGAGGTTTTTTTCTTCTCTCTGAAATGGGAAAAGGTAAGAGAAAGAGACGCAGATTTAAATAAGAAACGGTCGAAGAAGTTGGCTTTCTTTTTTTTTTGTTGGTCAATGTTTATTATTATTAATCATGGGCCGTTATTTTTAATTTTTAATTAATGTTTTCTGCGATAAAGTATAGTAAATTTGCTGACGACAAAAACACAAAAGTGGAAATATATTGCTTATGAGAAAAGCATTAATCATTTTCAACGTTTTCCATACTCATTTTTCTCCTTACACATAATTATTGTTTACAGGTTTGACCAAAACATTAGATAAGTAAATCTTTCTCCAAAACAAGAAATTTACCAGATTTTCTTATCTTAATTAATGTATAAGTAAAAGTTTCCTTTATGGATCATTAAAACATATCAGAAATTTTAACCTTTATGTTTCCAACCAAAAATGACACTTACTGAAAACATAGAAATTAAATTATACCATTTTTAGGGAAATTACACCTAAACCAATATTGTTACTAATTCAACCGCCTCGGTTTGTTAGCGGTTCAGCTAAAACCCGGTTTAATAATGTCTATAAATAAGGTTTTAGGATTGAAATTTCGCAGGAAAGGAATCACAAAACTTCTCTAACCGTTTCGCAGCACTCCTTCACTCTCCAGGTACATTTTCTCGGAAAATTTCACAGGATTTTCCCGGAAAACTCGTCGTCGCACTATTTTTTCTTTGAGATTACGTCAAATCTTCCTTAAACATGACGAACTTTATTCGGTTGTGTATCCGACTCGATCTTTGACTAAAGACCTCGATTCTCGGGCCTCCATTGTAGTTTTCTTGGTCAACTTTGAGAGAACATTACGCGGGAAAATTCGATCGTTTCGTCTCAAGAACAGGTAATAATTGAATTGATTGGATAAAGATTCAACATGCGAAACAGAGTAGTGTTCTAATGTCACTGTCCTTGCTTTTTCTTTTTCGTGATCAGATGGCAGATTACGAAATAGATGTGGTAATATATTCATCTTCATCGATTTGTTTTCTTTGAATCGGATGTTTAAGTGATGATTTCGAATGTTACTGTTGTGGTTTCTTTTCTTATTCAGATTATAGAGATTGAAGAAGATGATATGGTAATGTATTCATCGATCTTCACCAATTGTGTTCTTTGTATCCATGTTTTCTTTGTATTTACGACCTTTTTCCTAATCAGAATGTAGTGGAGGAAGTAGACGACTTAAATCAGTATATAGTGGACGAAGGTGGCGAAGAAAATCAGGTGGAAGCAGAGAACGAAGAAACTCAGATTTCAGAGAACGAAGAAATTGTGATTCTGGAACCAACGAAGAAATTGATCATCAGTGATGTTTGGGAGCAGTATCTGAGAACTGCGGAAATTCGGAAAGAAGACATGAACAGGCTCGTGATGAATTTTCTTGTGGTTGAAGGATATCTAGAAGCTGTGGAGAAATTCCAAAAGGAATCTGGAACTAAGCGTATCCTCTTTCTACTTGTGGAAGAACTTCTTCAGATTCTTTCTAGTACTGGTGTGTTATCTGGTCTCTGTTATTTCCTTATCAAGAAACAGCAGAAGTAGGTTTTGCGAGCATCAGTGACCGATTAGCTGTTATAGAGGCTATCGAAAGCGGAAATCTTGACGATGCTGTTGAGAAGTTGAATGCTACAAACCCTGAGGTACAATGCCTTTTTTATCTTATGCATCATCAGTGATATCTAAGGAAAGCATTAGTGGAGTCTCTCACATTTTCATGGAAACTGATCATTGGCTTGGACATATGTGATGTTGCTTTTCTATTCCTAACTGGTTAGAGTTTCTAACCATATGAGAGCTTGTGCTATTTGCAGATACTGAAGACGAATTTTTTTCTTAATCAGCAAAGGTTTATAGAAAGAATCCGCATGGGGATGACAGATGAGGAGGCCTTAGAGTTTGCTCAGAAAGAGCTTAAACCATTGGTAGAACAGAACGTAAGTCTTTGGTACCGTTAAAATGACATTGTGTGTCCTGTTAGTATCTCATGTCTTTGATTTATCTTATTGAACTTTCATCCATATATGTTCTGTCATCATACACTTAGTAGTTTACTTAGGTTTAAAACGTTAAAGTTGATGTTATCTATGTGTAAAGAATCTTTATCTTGCTTGGTGAGTCCACAAATGCCACTGATCTTTGATCCTATTAGAGTATACTGACACATAACCGGTCATAAAACTTTCCACATCTTATGCAGCTGGCGTTTCTAGAAGAAATGGCAAAGACTATGGATATACTCCGTTGTAAAGATCTCCCTAACATCCCGGAGGTGGTGAGAGAGCTTCTTGAAAACTCACGGTGGTTTAAGACAGCTGCCGAAGTAAATGCAGCGATTCTTACTAGCCAGACTGGTCTAAAATGTAACTGCTCAACTTTCTTACTAGTTATGGCTTAAGACAGCAAGTAAAACAATGAGCTTAAACCTCCAGCACTGTTCATATCCAAACAATAGGATCAATTGATATTATAGTTACAGTGAGACAGCTATTTTTACATTCCTTAGTTTCACACATGTGTCATTAAGATTTCCTCTTGAAACTTTGTCAATGTACTAACTCGATGATGATCTTATGTTTGTGAATTAACAGGTCCCAAACTTCTACACTTGTTGAAGATGCTGATTTGGACTCAGAATCAACTGGATGAAAAAGTAGAGTATCCACGCATGAGTTTTTTGCCCACTGGCCAGTTCACAGTCATAAACCCCCCATGGCCATCAGAATGATTTCATCACCACTTTCAGCAACTAAAGGCTCTGCCAAAGGGAACATATATAGTGAAATTTTAACCTGATCTGTTACAAGAACATGAGGAGACCATTGCTTCACATTGTATATTTTGATTGACATGAAGTTTTTTGGCCTTGCACTTATGATAAAGTCATTTGCTTTCTGATGGGAAAATATTGGACCACTTGGTGGTAGCAGTAAACAAGAGATGTTGGTTACTGGTTAGGCTTTTATTCTCCAACATGGTACGATTCCTAGAAAGCTACTAGTGAAAGGGCTATTGAATTGGTTTTGAAGTTTGTTGAGTGTTTGACCAACTAACTAAAAAAGTTGCTTCTTTGTCTCCTTATTGCACTGTTTCTTCAATGCACTTTATAATCTCTGCTTTGCTTATAGTCACCTAAGAAGATAGTTGCAAAATTAATTTGTCCAAAAAGAATGTAGCATGTTTTAGAAGAATGTTAGGTGCGAGTCAATGGTGTTTCTAGTTTATACTTCAAGTAAGGATTTACTGATTCGAAATTGATTAGTGGATAAACATAAATTCAAATTTGAGGTAATTCATTCAAATATAAATCTTTAACTAATTTTTAGTATCTCATTCAGTTATCTATTAGACATAAAATTTAGTCTTAGAATTCTCAAACTCAAAAGAATCCCATAATTAAGTTTTATAACAAAATGGTCAATAACCATATCAAATTTTTTAGCGTTGGAACTTACACCGAGATGTGTTTATGGTTTTAAATTTCAAATAATCATTCTCGTTTATTTTTCAAAGTGGTCAATAAGTAATTAGTAATTACGGTCTCTGCATTGGAATATACACAAAGGTAAGTACCAAAAAGTGTGTTCACAATTTCAATTGTTACCAGAAATAAAATCGATAATTAGAATGATCATTGACTTGTCAAGATAATTGCTTTCATTCTTTCAACCATTTGAAGTACATTGAAACAGAAGATTCAAGTTTTCACGAAAAAATCTCTAACTGACAAAAAAAAAGAAACAACAAATTTGATGGAAAATGACACAAAGAAGAGAGAGAGAAACTGAAACAAGTGTGACTGCTTCAAAACTGTAAACAAATAAGAGAAAGAAAGAGATTTGACAAGGTCAAAATTTGACAGAAACAACATAAATCAAAGTGATTTTGTGGAGTTTACAGTTACAGTCGCCGGAGAATCTCTGAGGATTCTCTACTCCTCCGTCGTCGAAGTTTAGAGCGTAACTCCAAGGATCATACTGAAACATAGTTTGCTTCTTCTTCTTCGTCTTCTTCACCGCAGCCTTCACCTTCCTGAACATCTTTTTCCGGTACTGATTCACCGCCTCGAATCTATCCTCTAATCCCATTTTACTCAGAAAACTCAATTTCTTGATTGATAAGCTTTAAAAAGGGTCTTTTGAAAATGGAAGAAAGTTTTGATCTTTTTGGAGCAGAAGAAGAGAGGAGGAGGAATGAAGAAAAAGTTAGCAGCTTTATAAAATGGGAGTTGAATTCGTGTGAGGAATTTACATTGGGGGTCACGAGAAAGAGATATAACAGAGGAAGAGGAAGAAGAAGAAACTTTGGGCAGAGCGCCTAAAACATCATTTTCGGATACTCTGTTTCTTTTTATTTTATTATTCAACTGTTTGGTCTTTGTCTCCTACTATCTTAACGAATCAATATTCCTTTCTTTTTTTTTCTTAAAATTAACATTCTTTTTTTTATACACTTTAAAATATAAATAAATTCGAAAAAACCTTTAGAGATTTTGAATTGAATGCATCTAAGAAAATCAAAATTTTGACAAATAAAACTAAGATTTCGTTGGTTGTTGAGATTTTTTTTGTTTTTTTTTTTGCTGTTTCTAAGAATAACAATGCTCTTTGTTTATTTTGAGATTTTTTAAAAATACCAAATATCAAAAGAGTGATTGATTGATTGTGTTGTAGGTTTTGGTCAATACAAATATTTAAAGTTGGATTAAGACTTAAGACTGTACTTGTCCAGAGTTTAGAGGCTATGAGATTTTTATATAAGTAACTTAATGCAACGATCCAAACGTAGTGTTGATCTCAAATTCAGTGTGGTAATTAAATCGTAGATGAAAAAATCGGGAATTAAAGCTTTCGTTGAATAACAAAAAAAAACTAAAGTTTTAGGCAATGTGTGAAGTGAATTTACAAAGCGGAGAAAAAGCTATATATAGAGAGAGATGAAAGGTGATTTTGTATGGAAAAAGTGATTAATCACTCCATGTCAACATTTCTTCTGCAGTTTTATAGCGTCGTTCCATCATACTACGTGCTTTGTAACGTTTTTACTCGATATTTCCTCTTTTACCTCAACATTTATTGTCGATATTTGCATGTTTTGTGAAATGTTGAGGTTTGAAATGGACTTTGGTTACTTTCTCAATTGTTTATTCAGCTCGACGAGACTTCTTTCAAGAATTTTTCATGTGAATGGGCCTATACTAAAATTTCGTGTGCAAGATCCAACACCAACACTTATAGATCAACAAATCAAATAAAACATACATTAAACTAATTAAAACCGAAATTAGAGACCACGTAAAGTTTCTTATGTTTTTTTACTATTTTCTTTCCCAGCAGAACTAAGCTGAAATGTTTTTATTTATTTAAAGACAATAACTTCTGGAATGTGTTCTTCTGGTTTTAATTTGGCTTTGATTGGTGGAAAAAAAAATAACTCAAAGTAATCACTTTTTTGCTTAGACATGCAGTGTTAGTGTATACTTTAGGATTAACCAATTACTGTACTAATTAAAAATAATCATCGAACCACGCCTGTCATTAATAGGTAACAAAGTGTTTCATCGTGGCTCAAAATAAAAGCTCAAAGATTCTGCATATATTTTCTTAATTACTTTAGTAAACAAAAATTCACTATTCACTATCTTTGTAAGTTTTCGAGAAAAGCTGAGCAATAAAGGACAACATGTGTGTCCCCGAAAAGTTACAATTTTTTCCTTTATTTTTTAATTTCTCTTTAAATCCCAAAACTTTCACTTTCTCACATATTAGCCCCACTTGCTTCCTCCTCTCTTTCTCCTTCTTCTTCATCTCTCTCCCTCATCTCTCTCTTCTCTGTATCACCCCAAGAACGAAGAACATTGAAGCTTCTTTACCTTTTCACACATAAATGAGAGACCTTGAGCACTTAAAGACGAACTTGAACCATCCATGGCCACCTATTGGAGCTCCGATGAATCTCCGGCGAGAAGAGCCGTGGAAATCTCAATTCGACGACTCAGTTAACGCTGTCTCCTTTGGCTTCGTTGCTACAGCTATTCTCATCTCTATGTTCCTCGTCATGGCTATCTTCGAGAGACTGATTCGGACAACCACTACTTCAACTACTAATTCAGATTCCTCTTCAAGTCGGGTCCTTCCGGGTATGGATTCTCGGGTCGGGTTTAATGGTGCTGCAACTAAACTCGGTTATCAATCTCCCAAGGCAAGTCCTTTTTTACTTTATCCTTCTCTAAAAAGTTCGTAAACACAAATTCCTTAATTTTCGCATTATTGTCTACTTACTGTTAATTAAATGTTGACACATTTTGACTAATCTAGAGATTTCGACACTTAACTTTGGTTTTAGATGTTAGAGTTATTTATTTGTTTTCTTCCTTAAATTTTCGAAATTTGGTATTAGAAAAAAAAGCTTCAGTCTTTTTGATTAATTTTGCCAAAGGTTACAATTTTAATTTTGGGGTAATTTTTTCATTTGATGTGAACACGTTCATACCAAAAGCAGAAGGAGAAAACATCAAAAAGTGTTGATTCTGTGTACTATTTGAGTATTGAAAGAGACACAACATTGCACATGCTTTTACATCATCAACATTAAAGATGTTTCATAAGCTTACTCACTCACACATGCATACACTGTTGAGTGTTGAGTGTGTATCTATATGTATGTATCATGTATGTATAAATGGTGATGCATTCATTGATCTCTTTCGTCATTTTAGAATCTCTCTGTTTTTTATTTCCTTCTTAATAATGAATGACGAAGGAGACAAGAAAGAGGTGTAATAAAGTTTTGTTTGTTGAAGATTGATTCGTTTGTTAAGTATTTGATGTCGACGCGTATAATACTAACTATGCGTGTTGTAGATGGAAGATGAGGTCTAAACGTCAGTGTCTGAAACCATGTGTGACTGACATTTCCTAGGAACACTAATGGTCCCACAAGTTTTCTTGAAACCTAACATTACTCATATTCTAGAGTGTCTATTCTTGTTTTTCCATCTTCTTGAGTGATTACATAGTTTGCTCGACTCTAATCTCATATAAGACTAGAAGTAGGACAGAGTCAGTAGCCCCATTTGTCGAGTTTGATGATCTTTCAATCTATATGTGAACTTGAATGTATGTAGAGATTGTGTTTTCTTTGGCAACTTTTTTCGTTTAACATTTTAGGGAGTTAATTCTTCATTGTCATAGTCTTGAGGATAATAGTTTCTTGGAGACTTCTTTGTCCCTCATATCTTTAGTACTGAATTTTAGCTTGACTTTGGTACATATGTCTATTGAATCCCACTCCAGATATATACTTGAAATGTGTTTTGAGAAATGGGTTTTAAACTTGGATCTAGTTCTTCTTTCCGGATCTTGATTATTGATGAGAAGCTCTTGTTACACCTTATTTTTTTGTTGGATAAAGTTATTTTGATTAAAAGACTGATTGGCATTTATAGATTGATATTAGATGGATATGGAACAAACCATGTGTTCAAAGAGTAGATAGAACCATTCAAAAACATGGGAGGACCCATAAATGGTAAACTTAAGACCAAGTGTGTTTGCCCTTTTCTTCATTCTAACCTGAGTTGCTGTTTGGGAACAATGACACATGTTTTGATCTGTCATTGTCTTCTTCCACTCAAAATTCTCATTTGCTTATGATTTGTTGGCTTTCTTTTTGAGAATCTCTGCTTCTTCTATCTGTTGGATATATGTTGTGTTGTTATTTATGTGATTTTTGTTTCTTTGATTTGCAGATGACTGTTTACTCAAACGGGGTATCGGTATTGATGCCAGGAGATGATATCCCTACGTTCATCGCTCATCCAGCGCCCGTGCCTTGTCCTCCTCAAAACATCTCACAGTCTCAGGATCAACATAGCTCATCGAGAGACTCCTCCAACTCAAACTCCATTCAAGAATGTTAAAGACTGTTTATTTATCTTATCTCCATCACCATTCACCATTGGCTTATTTGACATTCGAGCGACCAACCACATTCAGTTGAGTTGAGTTTGGCATCGGATGTTTTTGTTTTCTTGTATTGTTCTGTTTTTTTTTCTCTCCCGACGATTTCGCTACATTGATTGGGTTCGGGGAGATTATAAATCCGCATTTTGTGTAAATAGCATTAGGATCAAAACTGGTGTATGCCCTTTAGCTTATAGCCTTAAGCATATATTCAAGATTTGACTTGGTTTTATTTTGGTTCTCTGTTATTTTGCTTTTTACATGACTTAGTTGGCAAAGAAGAAAAGAGAAGAGACTAAAGAGTGTTTTTTTTTTTCTCTCTAAGATATCAAACTTTCTCTAAGATAGAGAACTCGGAGGTCATGTGGAGCTGCTTTATCGTACGTTTGGTTATAAATTCTAATATCGGGAAATTGTAAAACTAACTGTAAGGAGCAGACGAATTTTGTATTGAAAACTGTGAGTTTTCTAGGGGATGCTAGTTTTTCTTACAGTGATATTATTGGATTGAGATATGATTTTTGAATTAGATTGTTAAATTTTTCAGTGGACTAGAGATCTTCATATTAGTAAGTGCAAAGTCTGAAATGTGTTGGAATTTTGGAATACAGACATTAACTCTTTTGTTGTGTATAGTCACCAGTCAATGTGGATTCCACTGTTATGTTACTAAGGTAAATGGTATATACAGTTTTCTTTTCGTCTAGTCATGTAAATGGTGTACTTGTGTCATATGTTGTACACTTATTTTTCGGAAAAGTTGACTTATACGAGTGTTTGGCATGTGTGAATTTGAGAATGTACATACATTTGCGTCATAATTTGATGAACGAATTTACCAGTATCAGAGTCGAGATTTCACGTTTGTATTGACTCGAAATCACATTCAGTCATTCGCTGATGAAACTGTACTTTTTTTTTTGTCAAATGTCATATGTACAACTATGTGAAAATAGATAGCATTATTAATTACTTCTTGTACTATTTTAACGTTCAAAATGATAACAAGTCTTAAGAAAATCTTTAGACCTTTGCATGGCTATATGATAATGTACACGGAATTAGAGCAGTATTTTTCGTGCATAACAATTATAGCTTACTGGTCATGTTCTTAATTTACTTCAACTAGTTGTGTAGTTAACGACTTAACGCATTACAACAAACAAATTATGTGAAAAACTTAACTCTTCACTGTTAGCTTTTTCTCAACTAGACATTTTAAATGATAAAAGAATATCGACTAATTTACACAGATTAAGCTAGATTTTGGCCTGCTTTTTCAGATTATAACTATTTATTTGTCATAAAACATTATTGGTTTCACTGTTATTTATAGATAAATAAATATAAAACATTTGGTGAAAGTAAAATATTGCCAATAAATACCCAAAACTCTCTCCCTTCACATTCACACAGCACCAAAAAGAGTCAAGAGGATCGTTATCTCCACCTAAACAACGCCGTTCTCTGTTATGGGTTGTTGCCTCAGCTCCGCCACCGCCGACAAGAAAGATGATCCTGTCTCCGGCAAGAACACCGCACCACCTCCATCAGTTGTCGATGAAGAGACAGTAGTCAAAGAAGTCTTGTCCGAAACTACATTGCTCACTTCCTCTAACGACAATTCAACGGTGGAGAAGATGACGACGACAAAGATTCAAGAAGACGAGGAGAAGAAACCCGGAATTGTTGTCGACGTAGCTCAAGAACCGGTTTCGACCAAGCCCGGTACGGTTGAACCCGAAAAAGGATCGGAGGTTTCGGAGATTTGTAGTTTAAGCGAGAGTTTGCTTTCGATCGTGAATGGATACGACGAGGAAGAAGTGAAACAGATGAAATCTCAGGTAGTGAGACAGAGGTCTCCGGCGAAATCTCGGAACCGGGTCATGGTTAGTTATCCAAACCGGAGAACCGATATGTCTCCTCGTAAGAGAAACGTCGAAGAAGAAGCTGGCTCGGTGAGGCTGGTTCCGCCGGGTACGGGTAAAAGAGACCCGACTGAAAGATCCGAGAGAAGGTCAAGGTCGCCGGCGATGAACAGGTCCGTCATGATGGGTCCAACTCGGAGTCAACAAAGTACGGACAGTTGTGTAGCAATGAGAAGACAAAATCAGTCTCCGGGTCGGGTCAGACTTGATCCGTATAAGAACGGGTCGGAGCAAGATTGTAATCATCACAAGTGGCCGGGTTCTGTTGGGAATTACAATATTGCCCCTAACGACTCTTTTGAGAACCCTCTTGTTTCATTAGAGTGTTTCATCTTTCTATGAGATAATGTATCTTATTATCGAATTATCGCCGGAATTTACAATTTCGAAGTTATTTTATCTATTCAGATTTCACATGCTTCGCCACTGCAGAATCTGTTTGGTTGTGGATTTTGTAAAATACTAAAATGTTTTTCTGTTTTTCATTATAAAAAACTGAAAACTTAAATTAAATTATATGATGTGTGAGTAGGGCGGCAAAAGATTTGCTTCCGTGACATCAATTATTATATTTTTTCTGACAGTCAAAATCAGACGCAAGCAAAGTCACGTAACTTTGACCCCGAAAAGAAAGTTACCATCATACACTAAATTCAATTCACTATGATCGTCCGAACCAACAAATTTCAAACAATGTATTATGATTTTTTTAGTTTTCATCATCTAAAGGCTAAACTTATTAGTAGTTTATTTGTTGTGTTATCATCTAAAGGCTAAATTTCAAACAATGTATTATGATTATTTGAGTATTATAATTGTGTGAGTTAAAGAACTAGATAAAATATTTAACAGAAGAGTGTTGGTTTAGTTATTTCAATACTCTTCTTTATTCCAATCAAAATGTAGTTAATTTATAATTGGTTTAAGAGTTGATTCAATATAGTATATAGACTGTAAAAACTATATAGTGTACAAAATAGTAGCAAATAGTTTTACATGAACGGTTTAGTAGGTTCTATTTTGTGTATAAAACAGTTTATTAGTAGTTTTTACAGCCTTGCTTAAATATCTTAGTTTATCTTTAATCGTGTAAAACAAAACTGGGATCCTTCCTTTTTGGTTACGATAGGTATGAAAGTAAAAAGTTTTTAGGTGTTGTTTAAAAAGTACAGAAATTCGATTTTGTGGTTTGTCTAGTAAATCATTCAAACGTTTTTTTTTTAAATTTTGATAGCGATTAAAAAAAAAAAAATACTTTTCTAGGCTCATCTTTTGGAGAGAGCACTGTAAAGATTATGCTTTTCTTAACGCTTTCTTGTTTGTCCTTTTGTACCCCACAACATCACGTTAACTAATTTATTTGATGAATGTTGAATAATTTCCGGCGAGAGAAAAAAAAAAAGTTTCTTTACCGTTAATTCTCTCGAGAGTTTATGTGTCAACACTTGTGTATATTGGAAATAGAACAAGACAAACCAATAATTCTGATCAATTTAATATTATCAAAAGTTCAAAACTATCAAGTGCATGCATCACAGCAAATTGTCTCCTAGTATAGTCAAACAAATTTTTTGAAGTTTTTTTTACTTTTCATAATTTATAGAACTTTTTCTTTGAAACTTTCTGATGTTGCGTGTTCCGATTACTAGAAGATTTATAACGGATATAAAATGGTAGGCAAGATAATGCTAGGACGATGTAAAACCAAAACTTGAACCAAAATTCGTGTAGTAACGAGATTTGATTAATTAAATAAATAAAACATTCGTTATGTGCCTTGGATCCTCTGGTCTAACGGGTGACCATAAAGTAGTGTTGCATTCTTTAATTTTGTTTCGCCTTTTTTTGGGTAATGAGAGACCATGTTAAAAAATTAAGGACCATAATAAAGCCTAACTTTACAATATCTATCTATATTTTGCCTAAACACTTTTTAAAGAGACCAATAGTTTGCATTCACTACATCTTCCAATCTCCTCACTAATTTTGCTAAGTATATGTTTAAGTGCTACCATCATTAATCATTATTCGCATTAACATAATGTTTGAATTAATGGTTCAATTAGTACTTTATGATATGACTTATTGATTTGGGGTTTCTGATTTCTGAATTACAAGAACCAAAATAACTCCTACCTTAGTTTGGTATGGTTTTGGTTCAACTTCGGTTATGTATAGAGAAAATCGAAATTGTGGAGAATTAATTTGAGCTTCGGTCAAAACAAACATTTGATTCGGTATATTCATTTGATTTTGGCTCGGTTTATTATGGTTGGCATAGTGTGGTTTGAAACGTTTGAGTGAAAAAAAGGGTTCATGTACGATAGTTTTTCTTCGAAGACTGAAAGTAGCCGTTGCAATCTCTTTGCGTTATTAGGCCTACGAGGAATCATCTTTCAAATGGGCTTTACTATTACCCACTATCAACCAATTTTGGGTCATATTTTGTTTTATAGCCCATAAGAATGGGATTTTTTTAGTAGTCGCAACTTATTATTGTGTCCGGTGAACTTGATTGATTTTGACAAGCCAAAAAAATTCGATTGATAATTGATTTCGACAAAAGATCAACAAATCAAAACTTGAGCTCAACAACCATGTTTATTCGTTATTGATCATACAAATTTATTTATGTTTGCTGTTGTTATTCGGGTTGTAAATAATTTATGTGAATATCAGAAGTAATCACATATGAATATCAAAGTTACTCTCATCTCAAACTATGAAATGATGGCATTTCATTAAATTATTACTATTGAATTGTTCACAAATCCTCCATCACATCATCCAATGAACCAACAAACAAAAATACAAATTAACTATATATTCCAAAGAAATTGATAAATAGTGATTGTTAGTTGTAACTGTAAACACAAAACCAGAATTCTTAATTGTTAATAGAAGAACACAAAGTGTAATCATGAATTTACTATATCTTTTTTTTTCTTAAGCTTTTAACACAATTTTCATAAATTTTCAGTTTAAGTCATTGATAAAACTATTAGAAAATATCTATGATAATCTTCATCTTTAACATTTTAAGCGTTTCTACTTCCTAAGTAATTTAACTACAACATCATCGACATGTAAATTGTAATATGTGTTGTGATGTCAGAATTTGTAGACAAAAAAACACTCACACAATTAACACATTTTTACCACCAAGAACCACTAAAATTAAGAAAAATGGACGTGGGATGAAAATGATGATATTTTTGACCTTGTAGGGTCTCTCACTCTCTTCCTCCATTAAAGAATCCTCAGAGCTTTTCTTACTTCAACTGTTTTTCTAGGCCCATCTCACTGAAATAAGTGATAAACTCTGCCTGTTACATTATTTGGATTTTAATAGGTGAAGTAACGGAATATGTAATCTACATCAAAATGATATCCACTTCTATTTTTCTACCTGATGGCATTAGAAAAATCCACTTCTATAGTAATTAGATGAAGCATAGAAGCGACAATTAAAAAACATAAAGAGAGACAAGTCTTGGCAAGTTTTCTCTGTTTCACACTTTGGAGACGAAACCTTAAAGGCTTAAACAGAGAAAAACAAAGCCGTTGGCTTTTGTAAGCCGCTCGTTCTTCGAGACAAAACACACTACATTACTCTCTCTTTCTTCTTCAATCTCTTTTCTTCTTTCTCTCTCTCCTCAAAATCCGACGAAATTATGATTCACTTTACCTTTTAATCAGGAATATCCCTGTTTCACCCTTCTTCTTCGACTTCTTCCTGGTGTTTTCATCACATTCCCTCTAAATCTTCGTTTTTATTGAAAAGAAACAATCTAATCCAAGTTCAAGGGTTTTCTCATCTTCAGTGGAGATTTGAAGTTATGAGTTTTACAAGATGGCAAGTGTTCTTTGTTCTCTCTGTTTTAGCCTTGACAATGCCGTTCTCAGCTGGAGTTACTAATCTACGAGATGGTAATTATCTCTCTCTGCAAAGTTTTTCATTTTGGGTTTTGCTTTGACTCTCCTTATTTTGGTTTAGTGAACACTCTAGATTTTGACTTCTGTCTAGTGAAAATGACTTACAGCAGTTTTAGGGTAAACTAGGTGAACACTAGAGCTGTCTGGGAAGCTCTAGATTGGCAGATTCTATGATTCTGAGGCTAATCTCAAAAACCCTAAAAAGTTTTGGTTTTTGACACATAAGCTCTTGTTAGGGTTTTAGTTCAAGACCAAGAAATTTGTTCTTATTGTTCTTCATTAAATGGTTATCTTCAGAAAGATTCTTTAATATCTAGAAAATTGTGTTAGATTTGATTATATAGTGATGGGTTTGTTTGTTGTTTAATAACTTCTGCAGTCTCTGCGATTAATAACTTGTACATCACTTTGGGAGCACCATCTCTACATCACTGGCTTGCTTTTGGAGGAGACCCTTGTGGAGATAAGTGGGAAGGTGTGGTTTGTGACTCCTCAAACATCACAGAAATGTATACTTCCTCTTCTGCTCTTATAACTCTTTGTTATGGTTTGCTTTAGAGTCACCAATTCAGGTTCTGACCAGGTGATTATTGTTGTTGGCTGCAGAAGGATACCTGGCATGAAGGTAGGTGGAGGCTTAAGTGATACTTTGGCTGATTTTTCATCTATCCAAGTCATGTAAGCAAAGCTTCTTGTCTTGTTTTGTTTCATCTTCTTGTTTCTTTTGAGGCTTCTTGCTATATACAAAACATACAACATGTTGTTACCATTCACTATAATCTTGAATTGCTTAATAATACTCTTTCTCTCTTCCTTGTTTGAATGAACAGGGACTTCAGTAGCAATCATATTTCAGGGACAATTCCGCAGGCTCTGCCGTCTTCCATCAGAAACCTGTGCGTTTGAGAATTGACTATATATATTTATGGCAATACTTATGTTTCCAACAGTGTAAACGGTTAAAAGACACTCCATTTTTTTTCATTTCTTGTTTCAGATCTCTCTCCAGCAATCGCTTCACTGGGAACATTCCCTTTACATTATCCTTTCTATCCGATTTGTCTGAACTGTAAGTCTTTGTTAAAGAAGACACCGTTACTTGCATCTGCGGTTTTTCCTCGGTTTGAAGCAGACTCTTTCTTTTCCCTTCAGGTCATTGGGAAACAATCTTCTATCAGGAGAGATACCCGATTACTTTCAGCAGCTATCAAAACTGACAAAACTGTATGTTCTCTCCTCACTAAGTCTCATTTTGTTTCCTCCCCTCAGCGTCTTTCACTTACGCATTTAGTTTCTAATGCAGGGACTTATCATCTAACATACTGGACGGGCATTTACCTTCCTCCATGGGAGACTTAGCGTCTCTTAAGATATTGTAAGTGCACATATTTCAGAATATGAAATTTTACAAAAACATTGTTATCATTGCTTTTATATCTAATGTGGTTGGACTGCAGGTATTTGCAGGACAACAAGCTCACAGGAACACTTGATGTTATAGAGGATCTTTTCTTAACTGAATTGTAATCTTTTTTTCACCTTGCATACTCTTTGTTCTTGACTCTCCAACCATAAAGCCAACTTCAGTAACTCACTATGGTTTTTTTCATATCTTTGATTCAGGAATGTAGAAAACAACTTATTCTCAGGACCTATACCGCCAAATCTATTGAAAGTTCCGAATTTCAAGTAAGTATATTAAGAGAAAAGCTGAATGTTTTTTTCCTTTTCTTTAGCCATTCAAGTTTCATTGTCATTATAACTGCAGAAAAGATGGAACTCCGTTCAATACATCGATTATAACTCCACCTCCTCCGCCTGTAGTTGATCCTCCTCCCGCTACTCACCATGCTCCTCCTGTTCCCCGTATCCCTCCTGTTTCCGGTGTTCCCCCTGCACCTTTTGCTCCTTTTGCTCCACTGCAACCACAACATCCACCACCATCACCACCTCTGGTTTGGTCACCACCTTCTTCTGATAATGGAGGAGGGGATCCCTGGAACACTGGGTCAGGGCAACCTACCTTGCAAATATCACCTCCTTCAGGTTCAGGATCAGGAAAATTCTGGTCCACTCAAAGAATCATTCTAGTCGTTTCTTCAGTGGCCATAATTGTTCTCGTATCTGGTTTGTGTGTTACACTTTGGAGATGTTGCAGAAGTAAAATATCTAACCGATATTACACTGGAGCTCGTAAAGATTTACAACGACCATACTTCAATAAACCTCCATCTCAACCAACCCCCACTATGGGAAAAGGTACACTGATTCTTTTCCTTCTAAGAAGAAAAGAAACTTGTGCTTTGGCTCATTAGCTGTCCGCAAAATGCTGCGGGCGTTTTCTTTTGCTTTACAGTTTCTCGGGAGCCCATGGTTAAGCCTTTCGATGGATATGGAGCTGGAGACAGGAAATATGGGTATCCTATGCCACCACGGGCTGAAGAAAGCCGGAGAGCAATGCCTCCTGCTTCATATTATAATAAGGATGTTAATACACCTCAAAAGCCGTTGCAACAACCACCGAGGCAGTTCCAGTCCAATGATTCTGCTTCAAAGAGAGCGGCTCATTTTCCCCCGGGCTTGAATTCTTCATCTTCTGCTACCGTTTTCACCATTGCTTCACTTCAGCAATACACAAATAATTTCTCAGAAGAGAATATAATTGGGGAAGGGTCGATTGGTAATGTTTACAGAGCTGAGCTTCGTCATGGAAAGGTGTTACACTTTCCTCTTGTCTGTCATTTGGTCTTTCAATGTTTTAGTCTGTGCATTCTTATTAACTTCTTGACATGTTGTGATCTATAGTTTCTTGCGGTGAAGAAGCTGAGCAATACCATCAACAGAACACAGAGTGACGGTGAATTCCTCAATCTAGTCTCCAATGTGTTGAAGCTTAAACGCGGTCATATATTGGAGCTTCTTGGTTACTGTAACGAGTTTGGTCAAAGGTTACTTGTGTATGAGTACTGTCCTAACGGATCACTTCAAGATGCACTACATTTGGACCGCAAGTTGCACAAGAAGCTCACTTGGAATGTGCGTATGAATGTTGCGTTAGGAGCTTCCAAGGCATTGCAGTAAGTAAAGAACCTGAAAATGTTATGCCAATCTATATTTGGAACATCTAGGATCTTAGAGTTTGGTTTCAGGTTTCTTCACGAGGTATGTCAACCGCCGGTTGTTCACCAGAATTTCAAGTCTTCCAAGGTTCTTCTTGATGGAAAGCTCTCAGTACGTGTTGCAGACAGCGGTTTAGCTTATATGTTACCACCGCGCCCAACGAGTCAGGTAAATTTCTGTATGTTGTCTTATTCTTAAGATCCCAAACATAAGACTGAGTGCTGTAAAGGAAATGATGTTTGCTTAAAAAATTGTAGATGGCGGGTTATGCCGCTCCTGAGGTCGAGTATGGAAGCTACACTTGTCAGAGCGACGTATTTAGCCTTGGGGTTGTAATGTTAGAACTGCTCACTGGACGCAGACCATTTGACAGGTTAGCATACTCTAGAGAGACAACTAATAAAACCCATAAAAGATTCTGAACTCAAAAACATGTTTCAATTATGTTTCTTATGAAAAATCACTGTACTATGTTTGTTTGCAGGACAAGGCCGAGAGGACATCAGACACTAGCTCAGTGGGCGATTCCTCGGCTTCATGACATCGATGCGTTGACAAGAATGGTTGATCCGTCATTACACGGAGCGTATCCAATGAAATCATTGTCACGTTTTGCAGATATCATATCACGTTCACTGCAGGTAAAAGTTCACTTCATTCATCACCAAACTAGATGAGAAAGCAATGTCAAGCAATGACATCAGAAAACTAACTAACCCTTTCCACTTCTGTGCATGCTAATCTTTGTCTATAGATGGAACCAGGATTTAGACCACCGATATCAGAAATAGTCCAAGATCTTCAACATATGATCTAAGATACACAACCTTGGCCTAAGACGCAGAAGTAATAGTTTATTGTCAGATTCTTGTTGTTTGTCCTTTGATGAATGAAATTCGCACAACGTATTTCATTTGTATTATAATAACAATTGTGTATGTTGGCTTGATGGAAATGAGCTATGGGGTCATCATCATGTAAGCCCATCCCATCACTGGCTCAGATTATTCACCAACCTGATCGTGTATTTAGATTATTTGTCATTGTGAAAATGATAACACTTCTAAATTAAGTAAAGTCATATGAAGACTGAAACTGAAGAGACATTAAGGTTCAAGAACAAAAGGTGTACTTAACAGTAGTGGTAAAAGAGAAGGTAACTTGTTCAAGTACCACTCCAAACAACAAAACCTAAAATTGAAATCAATATGCTCAAGAGAGGCATATGATTGATGCTTTAGAGTTTCTCTTCTTTAGGTTTCTTGGGAAGAAAGCTCTCGAAAGCCGTGGTCAAAGCAGTGGCTGTCATGAATGAGGCTCTTAGTAATCCGATGGCCTGCATTAGTGTCAGATTCAAAACGATTTATTTGAGCTTAGAAAAAACTATATCTGGAAAGAATAGTAATATAGACATATACCTGTGTTTTGCTAATGTTGATTTCATGCTCCTCAATATCATCCAAGTTCACTTCAAACTTCTTCTTTATGCAAATAGTAAGATCATCTGAGACCATGTATGTTACCCCGCTCTTCACAAACCCACTGCTACAATGAGGTGTCAATTGAGGACTACCGTCACTGTTTAGATAACTGACCCCAAGCAACGATTTCTGCAGCCTATATTGCCAAGGAAGCATACATGTGTTACTAGATGCATTCGTGCTTCCGCTAGAGCTCAAGTTCTTCAAGCTTCTACAAAAGTTGCCAATGCATCCTAGCTCGATATTGCATCCAGTTATTTCCCATACAGATTCCAAAGGGATAGCCAGGAAAATGAAAAGTAGATCCACAAAGTCTTGCCCGCTTTCAGCATAAAGAAACTTCATGTCCTGCTTCCTAACAAATAGAGTGAGTGACACAACTTCATCTGGTCCTGCTTCACCTCCATCTTGCGCTTGTAGATTTGGCATGTCATGCGACCTTGTCATACCACAAGAGCTATGCTTCTTCAAGAAGACATCAGTGAAAGGAGTTTCCGAAAAGAACAAGCAATGGAGCAGAGATAGAACCTGGATTCAAAATATCATAAATCGGAGAGCAAACAAGGACCATAAAGTAATGGCATGTAACAAAGATTCCTCAAAAAGAAAATATAGTTACCTCTTCATGATTAACATCTACAAACATCTCCTCCAGTCTATCAAAATTATTATGACCGAGTCCAACAAGTATTTTGATGGCGCGAATTAAAGAAGCAAATTCCACTTTCATATTTCCACTAATGATGAAAGAGGTCCTTGGGGTAACAAATAATTCATCAGAACCACCTTCAGGTACTTTAAACTCGTCCCTCATCAAATTGCACCTAAGCATCATCATCTATGTTAAGATGATTAAGGCGTCTGCATTGCTTCTCTTTCACATACCTCGGATACAAAAGCATATCCTTACAATCTTCAGTCGTGAAATCAACTTTGTCCATATCAACAACACTTTTGTAGAGATTGTTGAAACAGCCTATTGGAGCAGAATTCTGCTTATTCTTCTCCAGCATTCGTACGATAGTACCCATTGGCAGCGCCATAAAACCAAAGAGCACATCAACAAAATCCTTACCAGCCTGAGCAAAGACAACCTCGTTCTTCTCCTTGTCGACAAGAAGATTCAGCTTTAAAATTGGTGTCTCTGAGCTCTCAGTTCCAGCCATTTGAAAATCACACCAAAAACTTAGAAGTAAGAAGATCCACAGTACAGATCTGTATGATCCAGAGAAAGAAAATTACAAGTAAGCACACATAAACACAAATTAGATACAACCTTTAAACAGTTTCGTTAACCTATATGAGTTATGTGAATGCTAAAACTGATTAGTTTAGTAAAGTTTCTTTCCTATAGGATATATAATAACTTTATCGAATAACGATAGAAGGAAACAAACCAATGGCAATTGAAACACAATTTACTCTGTTTTTCTCTGCATAGGAAAAAAAAAAGAAAGCAAAGCTGAGTTTTCTCATCGAGAAGGTAGGAAAAGTACGTACCAAGATGTGAAATAGTTTTCAGAGTAACCACCGAGACACAAAGAGTCGAGGTTTATACTAATTAAGTCATTGATATATACAAATGTAAAATCTTACTAACGGAAAATATATATTCGACAATTAAATGATTGATTTACTTCCTTATTATTTCCTTTTTAAGAGTTAATATTTGCAGTTGATGGAGGAGGCAGAGAATCGAGTCGTGATTGACTGATTGCATCATCAACGCAATTTTTTATTTTTTTTGTAATTGGGCCCATGATATAACATGGGCCATTACCTATTTTTTGCACATACTTGATCGCCACGTGCCATAATTGGTCAAAATAGTTATAGAAAATGTAAATTCTTACTTATGGAAAAATATATTCGACAATTAAAATGAGGGATCTAGAGAGAATTAAGTGGTTGATTTAGTTCCTTTCATTCCTTTGAGAGATAAGTATTTGCTAAGCAGAGAGAGAGAGAGGCTGAGAGGCAATAATATTGATGGAGGAGGAAGAGAATCGAGTGGTGATTGCATCATCAACACAAAAAAAAAGAGAAAGAGAAGGAAGATACGAATAAGAGTCTTCATCCGTCGGCCTGAATTAGCGATTGCCTCAAGCATGGAGATTCCAGGGTTAGCAACAGGCGATTTTATGCGCCTCCGAAGGTTTTCTCTGTGGCGTTAGAAGATGGATAACAAACTTTTGGAACCCTAATTTTTCCAAATTGGAAAATCTATCTCTCCGATACAACGGCTTTAAGAATTTAAAGTTCCGATTAAAAAATAAAAAACAATTGATGGTGAAGGTGTAAAAATTGTAGATTATTGATCGGTTTAAACTACATACCGGATTAAACAGTACAAACTAATTAATTATCCTCTGGAGTCTGGATCAGCCCACAAGGTCCGGTTTTGTTGTGTAGATTCAAAAAAATAAAATTAGAAAAGCAGAGAAAGTGGTTTTGTTTGTGATTCAACAAAAGTCACAGCCAAATTAAACATGATCAATATATAATGATAATCTTTCTTACAAATTATATAATTTAGAGTTAAAATATGTTCTTCCACACACCCAATTTCTTAGATGTCTTTTCTCCAAGAAAAGAAAACCATAAACCACAATCTTTATTACAAACCATATTCATAAGCAAATACCAAAGAACCATAAAAGTAAAAGGGAAATATATATATGGTGATTTAGATCATATATCACCTCATAAAACGCAAACCCTCCAGCACTGCACAGATCCTTCTTGTTCTCCAAGCAACTCACTTTGATTTGCTTATGTTCCCCTTTGCCTTGTTTTTCTTCTTCATCTTTGTGTCGTTCCTCAACTTTCTTGCTTCCCTTTGCACTTCACTCTCCTCCACACCAAGATCCTCCGCTATTCTCTGAATCATATTTTCACCACTGTGTCCGTGCCTCAATACAGCATCGTAATACTTGGAAATCATCTTGTCATCCCACCCAGCTCCTGACATATTTTTTTCTTTTAATTGGTAGAAAAAAACTTGATTTTACTAGAGATTATAATGAAGAACAGAAGAAGAATCGGAAGTAATGATTTATAGCCGAGAGATGAGTCTCTCTGCTCTGCTTTTTCCTTGTCAACTTCTTCTAACGTAACTACCACAACGCGCTTAAGAGCTTCTTTATCCATTTTTGGATATAGCTTTTGCTGTTTTCTGTCACCATCATACTCTCTCCTCCGATTAGGAGCCGTGTATATGTGTTGCAATTTACTTTTACAGATTCATGTATGTAAAATGAAACAAGTGGCTTCTAGTAGCATAAACTTGCTATAATAAGTAATATGGAAGACACATTGTTTCAACATTTCTCAAATTGTTCCACTTTTGCTCTATAGCTTATTTTGTTCTGATTGAGTGATCGAGGAGCCATGTCTATGTGGAACCATTTAGATTTGTTTTTTTTTAACTATACTAAGAATATACAACACTTGGTTTCTGGTAGCACACAAGTTCAAGAACTCTCAGATCCAACTACTCTTTGGCCTTATCGCAGTCCGATTCTAGTGGCTCTACTGCTTATTGAGTAATGAGGAGTCATGTTTATGTGTAACCATTTTAGAAAATACTTTTACTAATCTGAGACAAAGTGAAACCAAGACGTTCATGAAAACACCAACTGGATATGATGAGGTGGCAGCTTGGGCCATTTTTGTTGGTTGTGTGATTTAATTATTTTATATTTTCATATCGGTTCATGCTCTTTTTTTCTTAGTGATGATCCTAGTAGTGTTGATTACTTGGTGCCTTATCTGGATTTTGCATAAACGAAATTTTTACTCAAAAATAATTAGAGATTTTTACTTGAGATTTTTAGGGATAATTTTGTATAACTACTCAAATAATTCATCAGAACCACCTTCAGCTACTTTAAAATCCTCTGTTTTTATGGGGTTATTATGTAACATTAGACCATCCCAACCCATCACTGGCTTTGCAATTTGCATTATACACCAATCTTGTCGTCTGTCTAGATGATCTATTGTGTTATTATTCTGATCTGGTAACACTTGAAATCAAGCAAAAACATATTAAGACTGAAAATTCAGAAAACATTACGGTTGAATAACAAAGGCTTAATACATGACAGGAAACAACAAAAGAATAGGTAAATAATTCAACGTTGGTGTCTTTGTGATTCAACAAAAGTCAAAGCCAAATTAAACATGATCAATAATATATAATGATAATCTTTCTTACAAACCATATAATTTAGCGTTAAAATATGTTCTTCAACACACCTAGGCCTGGGCAAAAAACCCGGACCCGATACCCGAACCGATACCCGGACCGAAAAAATCGGGTTGGGGCGGGTTAGGGTATTAGAAAATTACCTCATTGGGTAGAGTATTGGATTACCCGTGGGTATCGGGTCGGGTCGGGGATTACCCGTTACCCATTTAGGGTACCCACAAACCCGAAGAAATACACATGTTTATATATGTATATAGATAATTAGATATATAGTCTTATATAGTTATATACTTATATGTATGTCCTAGGTTTTAGGTTTTGTGACTTTTGACGTTTGAGTTTATATATGTATATAGATAATTAGATATATAGTCTTATATAGTTATATACTTATATATATACTTATATATATGCAATACACATATGTTTATATATGTATATAGATAATTAGAATCTACTCTTAACACTTAAGAGTGAAATAGTCATCTTTGTTATTTTGGATTGGATTTAGTATTTAAATGTCATGTTTGATGTTCTATTTTCTTTATTTGATCATTTGAGTATGTAAAGTGATTTTAAACTTCGGGTATTACCCAAACCGACCCGAACCCGACAATACCCGAACCGGACCGGAACCGAAACCATAGGAATACCCGAATGGACCATAAATTCATTACCCATTCAACCCGAACCCGAACGGGTTTTACCCGAACCCGAACGGGTTACCCATATGCCCAGGCCTAAACACACCCATCATTCTTATGTATTTTTCACCAATAAAATTAAACCATAAACCACAATCTTTCTTACAAACCATATTCAAAAGCAAATACCATAGAACTATATAAGTAAAAGGGAAATATATATATATGGTGGTTTAGATCATATCATAAAACGAAAACCCTCCAGGGCCAAGCATATAGATCTTTCTTGTTCTCCAAGCGACTCACTTTTTTTTGCTTATGTTCCCCTTTGCCTTGTTCTTGTTCTTCATCTTTGTGTCGTTCCTCAACTTTCTGGCCTCCCTTTGCACTTCACTCTCCTCCACACCAAGCTCCTCCGCTATTTTCTGAATCATATTTTCACCACCGTGCTTCAATACAGCATCGTAATACTTGGAAATCATCTTGTCATCCCACTCAGCTCCTGACATATTTTTTTTTCTTTTAATTGGTAGAATAAAACTTGATTTTACTAGAGATTATAATGAAGAACAGAAGGAGAATCGGAAGTAATGATTTATAGCCGAGAGATGACCTCTGCTCTGCTTTTTCCTTTACTTCTTTCGTCTACTTCTTCCAACGTAAGTACCCCAACGCGCTTAAGAGTTTCTTTATCCATTTTTGGGTATAGCTTTTGCTGTTTTATGTCACCATCATACTCTCTCCTCCGATCAGGAACCGTGTATATGTGATGCTATTTACTTTTACAGATTCATGTATGTAAAACGAAAAAGAAGTGGCTTCTAGTAGCACAATTTGCTATACTAAGTAATATGGAAGATACATTGTTTCAACATTTCTCAAATTGTTCCACTTTTGCTCTATAGCTTTTTTCTGATCGAGTAAGGAGGACTCACGTCTATGTGGAACCATTTAGAATTATTATTTTACTATACTAAGAATATACAACAAGTGGTTTCTTGGAAGCACACAAGTTTAAAACTCAAATCCAACTACTCTTTGGTCTTAATTAGCTTTGGTAGTCCGATTCTAGAGGCTCTAGAGCTGATCGAGTATGGAGCAGTCATGTGTATGTGGAACCATTTAGAAAAAATACTTTTACTAATAATCTGAGACTAAGTGAAACCAAGACCTTCATGAAAACACCAAGGAGATGATGAGGTGGCAGCTTGGGGCAATTTTGTTGGTTGTGTGATTTATTTTATATTTTCATATCGGTTTTACTTTTAGTCATGCTCGTTTTTTTCTTACTGATGATCGTGTAGTGTAGCTTAGTGCCTTATTTGGACTATGTTTTTTTTTTTTTTACAATAAACGAAATTTTTATTCAAAAATAATTAGAGATTTTTTACTGATAATTTTGTATAACTACTCAAAAATCTTTTGAACTCATAATTTTGTAGAACCACAGAATTCTCTCTGCTCTGTTTTTCCCTTACCTCTTCTTCTTCTTCTTCCAACTACCCCACGCGCTTAAGAAACTGATTTATCCAAATTTGGGTATCAAAAACCTTTTGACGTTTCCCAAATGTGGCTGTTTTGGTAATCTCAGATAACTAAGATAAGTAGTCTTTGATCTTTCCCCATGAGTATGGGGCCATGACTCTATATTAATTGTAATGGTGCACTCCGTAATCTCATAGACCTGATTAGGAAGATGGAATTTAATTTTAGTTTGACTAAATTATATTTACGGACCTGTCTTTTTACCACGTTTCATCTAAGATTTGAAATCGATTTTATAAACCTCTAGGATTTGTTTATTTATTTAATATCTTCATTGACATTTAGTTCTGCTCATGTTGGGTTTTATATTTGAATATCTTTCTTTTTTTGTAATTGGGCCCATGATATAACATGGGCCATCACTTTTAGTGTTCGGCATTAGGCGTATGTTCAGACAAAATTTGTTTTACTTTTAATTTTTATTTTTTTCAAATCCTTAAAAACAAAAAACAAAAAAAAAACTAGCAATTATCGATCACATAAGCCATATTTTCAATATTGAAATGAAATTCTGGAAATGCCTATGGAAACTGAAAACCAGATTGATCAAGGCAGCAAAACAAAAGCGCTTATAACTCGTCAAGAAGTGAGAGAGAGAGAGAGAGATCCAATGGCTACAAGAAACGAAAGCCTGTCTTCATAACTCTTCAAGAATAACCAGCTGGTTAATAAATCCATCGTTGCCTTACTTGAAGTAAGCTCCAAAGAGCGGTGGTCAAGGGAGTGGATGTCACCAATGAAGCTTTAGTAAACTGATAGCCTGCATTACAAGTCAGACTCAAGAAAACTAACTAAAGACAAAAGAGATAATTGTGAAAATCCATGATTTTTGGAAGAGAACAAAAGTAAAAAACATACCTCTGCTTTACTGATGTTAATTACATCGGATATGAACTGGTTGATTCCAAACATAAGAGGGAGTGCTGTAAAGGAAATGATATTTGCTTAAAAAATTGTAGATGGCGGGTTATGCCTCTCCTGAGGTCGAGTATGGAAGCTACACTTGTTAGAGCGACGTATTTAGCCTTGGAGTTGTAATGTTAGAACTGCTCACTGGACGCAGACCATTTGACAGGTTAGCATACTCTAAAGAGACAACTAATAGAACCCCTAAAAGACTCTGAACTCAAAAGAGAACATGTTTCACTTATGTTTCTTATGAAGAATCACTGTCCTATAATACTATCTGAAGACAAAACCCTGGTTTTTTGCAGGACAAGGCCGAGGGGACATCAGACACTAGCTCAGTGGGCGATTCCTCGGCTTCATGACATCGGTGCGTTGACAAGAATGGTTGATCCATCGCGTATCCACTGAAATCATTGTCACGTTTTGCAGATATCATTTCACGTTCACTGCAGGTAAAGTTCACTTCATTCATCACCAAACTAGATGAGAAAGCCATGTCAAGCAATGACATCAGAAAATTAACTAACCCTTTTTCTATAGATGGAACCAGGATTTAGACCGCCGATATCAGAAATAGTCCAAGCTCTTCAACATATGATCTAAGATATACAACCTTGGACTAGACGCAGAAGCAATAATCTATACAGAGTTATGTGAATGCCTATACTAAATCCTAAAGATGATTAGTTTCGCAAATTTTCTTTAATCCCTATAGGATATTTAATAACTTTCATCAATTAACGATAGAAGGGAACAAGCCAAAGACAATTGAAACACAACTTACTCTGTTTTTCTCAGCATAGAAAAAAAAAAGAAGAAGAAAAAGAAAGCAAAGCTGAGTTTTTCTCATCGAAACGTACCAAAATGTGAAAGAATCTTCAGAGTGACGATAGAGATTACTCAGTGACCTACACGAATGCTAATTAAGCCATTGATATATAGTATATACAAATTCATTGTGTTATTATCTCGTAAAATGTAAAAAGGACACTTGTTAATTAATACCATATTTATTACACGTTTACTAAAGAAAAGTAATATTTGCACACATACGATCACCGGTCATCACTGAAAGAAAAGTAATAATTGCTCAAATAGTTATGGAAAATGTAAATTCTTACTTATGGAAAATATATATTCAACAATTAAATGAGAGATCTAGAGAATTAAATGATTGATTTAGTTTATTTTTATTCCTTTTAAGAGTTTAGGGGTGTTATTAGTTCCTATTTTACAAATAATTTTGATAACTTTAATAAAATCTTAGGATGTAAATAAATGAAAGATTCTAAACTATTGCTAGAGAGTTTTCTATAATCTTGTTGATTAGTTTTTCCATAATCTTGTAAAATTTTCCTAGCAGTCTCTCTATTTTGACAATACTTTTCATGAAATAAATAGTAGAAAATCATAATCCAATAACATAATAATTTGATTCATTAACAATCAAAGATTCTTTTGTTTTAATTGAATAACACAAAACTTTTATAGACTTCAAAAAATTCTAAAATTAATAACTCCATATTTATGAATATCTTAGAACACTTTTTACAAATCAAAAACTAATAATAATAATAAAACATTGATTGAATAACATCAGATTTTTCATTACATTTAAAGTCAATAAGACACTATTTAAATCACAAACCAATAATACCTCTTAGTATTTGCAGAGAAGAGAAAGAGAGAGAGGCAATAATATTGATGGAGGAGGAAGAGAATCGAGTGGTGATTGCATCATCAACACAAAGAAAGAGAAATAGAAGAAAGATACGAAGAAGAAGAAGAAGAAGAAACGAGAAGCCAGTGATTGCTCCATCATCTCTGCCAAGCGACGTCGTGGAGGAAATCTTCTTGCGATTTCCAGTGAAAGCACTATTCCGACTCAAGACTCTCTCGAAACAATGGAGATCGACGATCGAGTCTCAATCCTTCGAAGAGAGACACTTGAGGATCGCCGAGCAATTCCGTGTGGGTCATCCTAGAGTTATGGTGATCACTGAAAAAGATCCCCTAAAACTAATGCCTCTAGCTCGTCCAGACACAGACATTGGTTTTAGGTCATTCTGCTTGGAATCGGGTTCTCTTCTATCCTTTACTCTTCTCAATTTTCCTCAAAGTTTCGCCCACTATATCTATGTTTCTGGATGTTGCGATGGCCTTTTCTGCATCCATTCCCCGAAATCGGAAGCCGTATATGTTGTTAATCCGGCCACACAGTGGTTACGACAACTTCCTCCAGCTAGGTTTCAAATTTTGATGCACAAGTTTAACCCTACTTTTAGAGATTGGATAGACATGGAGTCAGTCTTTCATCTAGCCTTCGTGAAGGCCACTGATTACAAATTAGTGTGGTTGTATAATTCTGATAAGTACAATGCTGATGCCTCGAGTCCAAACGAGGGAGTTACCAAGTGCGAGGTTTTTGACTTCAGGGCAAACGCTTGGAGGTACTTGGCTTGCACTCCAAGTTATCGGATATATCATGATCAAATACCAGCATGTGCAAACGGGTCAGTTTATTGGTTCACGGAGCCATATAATGATAAAATCGAAGTAGTGGCTTTTGATATTCATACCGAATCATTCCGGTTGCTGCCTAAGATTAAACCGGCTATTGCTGGTTCAGATCCGAGGCATATTGACATGTGCATTCTGGATAATGGTTTGTGCATGTCGAAAAGAGAACCGGATACGTTGGTCCAAGAGATTTGGAGGTTGAAATCATCAGAAGACTTATGGGAGAAGATTTATACTATTGATTTGCTTTCTTGTTCTTCTTCCCGGACTCAGTTTCGCGATGAATTTGACTGGAGCAGGAAGGATTTGGTTGATCCATCCACACCGGTGGCGGTATGCAAGAACAAGATGATCTTGCTCTCACATCGCTATTCACGCGGTCTGGTAAAATATGATCCCCTAACAAGGTCTCTAACTTCATTTTACCAACATCCTTTGTCTAAGAGAAAAGTTCTTTATTTTCAAAGTTTGATCTCTCATATCTAAACAAACCTACTACTTTTGACGTGTTTGGAAGAGTGTAGTCCAATAACTTCTTGTTTTGGCTAGTTAAAATCAATCTGTATAAGTACCAAACATTTCTTATTGAATAAAACAGTAAATTTGGATGATTTCTTATAGAAAAACATCTAATAAAACAGTAAAAATATTGCTGGGAGTATTTTAGAATTAAATTATTTACTTGTTATATATACTATAATAATATACACAAAAAAAAACTCTAAAGAGCTTGTAATATTACTCAACAATAAATTGTACTTTTCAAAATTCATAAAGTTTGCATCCATGGGATAATTTCAAAATAACATCGAGGAATCAAAAAGTTTGGTTTGAGTTAATTTCAGTTTTTATGTCAAATTTGGAAGTACCAAACATTTCTTATTGAAATAACTGATCTTCTTTTTTACACCACCAAATAAAGTTGTTGATCGGAATTGACCCTTTTTATGCAAGAAAGCTTAAAACACCAAAACATGGGAAGCACTTATAGATCATGTTGTGCTCATGTCCAAAAGAGAAACAAATTATAACAACCAGAGTAATAATTTATAACCAAAAAAAATTCAATTTAATACAATATATGCAAATGTCACAGATCATACCAACCAGGCGATCTTCAGCAACAAAATATGAACATAGTATTGAACGTTTAAACCCAAACACATGTGCCGTAGGAACAAAAACACTTGGAACACAAATATCTAAAACATTCAAAACGTTATTAAAATTGTTAAATCAAAAATACAAGGCCAAATTTTCAATCAACCTCTTCCGAGTTTCATTCAGATCAATTAATCTACCCACAAGGCCACAACGAAACTTTGAATTTTTCATTATTATTATTTTGGAAAACAACTAAGTGGTAGTTATTTAGTCATTTACTACGATCTAGTTGTAGACATTGTATCCGTGTATTATTGGTTATACGAAAAATTCAATGTGGTATGAAATTCAATCTTAATTAAGGCCGTTGAGTTGGTTATCTTAAAATGGAATCAGTCGACGAGTATTTTATTTATTTGATTATTTCAATCAAGTTGTGTGATTACGAATTACCATTAACCGGTAATACTTGTTATTTTTCTTTTTCGTCAAACCGAACATACTTATTAACATTGTTTTTTTTTTTTTTTTTTTTTTTTTTTTTTTTTTTTTTTGAATAACCGCGGGTCTCCCAAAGGCTTCCTAGGCCCAAGGACTAATCCCACGAGGCTGGCAATTCCCCTATGTAAACCTGCCAGTGGCCGTGCCTCGAACCCTGGTGGCGGAAGTCACAGCTGTGACCCCTTTACCACTAGGCCACAAGGCCCGGTTAACATTGTTTTTATCCTATAACATTGTTATTTTAATCCGTTAGTTGTGACTTGTGAGTGCGTAAGGTTGATTTATACGTGTACACAAAAGTAGTAGAAAAGAAAAGTCTTTCCGTAATTTGAGCAGCTTATAAATACGATTAGTAGTAATGACAATGGAAGGGTATTTTCGTTAGAAAAAAAGTAACGACGACTGTCCAATATTCTGAAGTTTTCAACGATTTCTGTGTATTATTCTCATCATCAATGACATAAATAAACAAAATAAAATAAAACACAACAACCGGAAATGTTTTTTTAAAAAAAGAATTGAAAATGACAGAATCTGAGAAAAATTCGTCGCTTTACCTTTTTATCTTGGTCTCTCTGTTTTGTTCGTCTGCTCGTTCCACAGTTCCACTCTTTCAAAAATCTCTTCTTTTATTTTTCTCGTTCCCTTCTAAGTTCTTCTTTAATCTATAGTCTCAGCAGGAAGCAATCTCTCTTGTCTCAAAGTTTCTATTTTCTGAATCTCCGAGAAATCTTCAACTCTGTCTTGTCGTCTAGTCACATTTTGAATTTTTACACCACCAGCTCCCATTTTCTTTAATTCTTTCGATTCATAACAAAGGCTGGAGATTTGGTTTCAGCTTCGTAATCGCATGAATCTACTGAAATCGAGTAGATAATGGCGAAGCGTGGATATAAGCTACGTATCCTCATATAGTTCTTCTTTGCTGCTATATTATTGGAAACTTATAACCTGAATAGCAAAAGATACAAACTTTAGCTACATACATTTTGATTATTTTCACCCTGAACTTGAGAAATTTGATGTAGTTCAATCACTGTAGCGTTAGGGTTTATCTGCATTGATGGGGTTTTATGTTCTTTTTTTTTGGTAAATTGTTATTTGACAAGTTTGAATTTTTTTCATGAAATTTTCTTCTGGGTTATATAATTTCTGCTTCTGTCATCTTAAAACCAAACCGAGACCAGATTGTAGAAGAGACATTGTTATCTTTGTTTGTCTTGACTTTGTTTTTGTTGTGGATATGAATTGTTCTTGACTTGATTTTGAAAATTAGAGGAGTTTGTGGCACATTCCGGAAATGTGAATTGTCTAAGTATCGGAAAGAAGACGTCACGGCTCCTTCTAACTGGTGGAGATGATTATAAGGTCAACCTTTGGTCAATCGGCAAAACTACTTCGCTAATGGTCTGTTTCACATTTCCCTCTTTTTGTAATGTGTTTCTCCTTGTTGGTCTTCATTTGCAATCTTCGTTTCAAAAGTTCTTCTCTTTTTTCTAGATTTGCCATTTATAGCCATAACTACAGTTATTTCAGCTAATCTGTATGAAAATGTCAAAATTGACATTCTTGTTTCTATGGATAGAAGAATGATGATATTTTATATTATGTGTTGTTGGCAGAGTCTTTGTGGGCATACAAGCCCGGTTGATTCAGTAGCTTTTAACTCGGGAGAAATTTTGGTGCTCGGTGGAGCTTCTTCAGGTGTGATAAAGCTGTGGGATCTAGAAGAAGCAAAGAGTAAGCTGATTGATTTTTTCTTCTCATTTACTATCCCTAGAGTGTGTTAGAGGCACTTGTTATTGTCTGTAGGAATTATAAGTCCTGTGATTGATAGTTAGTTTCAGATAATGAGGTCTAATATTTTCACTCTTGCTCTTGAAGTGTAGTGGTTAGAGCTTTTACTGGACACAGATCCAATTGTTCTGCTGTTGAGTTTCATCCATTTGGTGAATTTCTTGCATCGGGATCTAGTGACACAAATCTAAGGGTTTGGGATACTAGAAAGAAGGGATGCATCCAAACATACAAGGGTCATACTCGCGGTATTAGCACTATCAGATTTAGTCCTGATGGTCGTTGGGTAGTGTCTGGAGGACTTGACAACGTTGTAAAGGTAAGAGCAGCAGTATCAACAAGTGCATTATTTTGTTCCCTAATGATTGTTCTTATACTCTTTATTGTACTCAATAGGTATGGGACTTGACTGCTGGAAAGCTCTTGCACGAGTTTAAGTTTCATGAAGGACCTATCCGTTCCCTAGACTTCCATCCTCTTGAGTTTCTCCTAGCCACAGGTGCGTTTTAAGGCTAAACTGGTGGCAGCTTTCGGTTAATTGATAATTTCCTGTTTTACATCCACAAGTTTTGTTTTGTGTTCTTCTGACTTCATATATTGCCCTTTCACTCACTCTTCAGGTTCTGCTGACAGAACTGTGAAATTCTGGGATTTGGAAACGTTTGAACTGATTGGATCTACTAGACCAGAGGTACCTGACCTAGTGTTTTGTTATTAATATGTCCTGTTTAGCGTTGGGTTCACTTTATAGTCCTTCCATAAGACTTAGTTTTACTTGCACTATTGTCAACCTTCTTCCTGGCCTGGCATGTGGTGTCCTTTGTTTTACAGGCTGCTGGAGTTCGTGCAATCGCTTTTCATCCAGATGGTCAAACCCTTTTCTGTGGATTGGATGATGGCTTGAAGGTTCTGATTGTCTTTGTGCTCAACTATACAACTTAGATGATGTCCAGAGTGAAACACTGATATTATAAGTTCATGCACATAATGCAGGTTTATTCATGGGAACCAGTGATTTGCCGGGATGGTGTTGATATGGGATGGTCAACCCTTGGTGACTTCTGCATCAACGAAGGAAAGTTCATTGGTTGTTCATATTACCGAAATTCTGTTGGGATATGGGTTTCAGATATATCGGTATGTAACCTAATGTCACTGTCCATACCTCATGTGAAAAACTTAAACTTAATAAAGTTCGCGTTTGTTTCTCAGGAACTTGAGCCATATGGAGCAGTATCTGAGGATAAGAATGAATGCATGCTGAAAAGATTCAGTGTCTTCAATGATCAGTCTGAGAGAATGGGAAGTGGCCCAAGGGGCAGTGTATCCCCAGATTATGAGACAAAAGAGATAAAGAACATATACGTTGACTGTGAGTAAATGTTAATTTTGTTTTTATGCTCATGTCCTTTCAAGTGTGGTATGACAGATATCTGTTAGGGCTTCATCTGTCAATATAAATCACATCTGATGTAAGAGGTTATCTAGTTGCTATCTTGGCACCTGAATCAATGCTGAAAAATGTTATTTGACTTAGTCAGAAGTGTTTTTAATGTAGACCATTGCAACTGTAGTAGGAACTCTTGTGATCAGCAACAGAAAAAGGTATCTAGACTTGCAAATCGCAGTATTCGTTACTGTATGAAACAAAGTAGTCTTTAGACGATACTTGAGATTTTTTGGATGGCATATGATTTTTTGGCTTTGACAGTTTCTTGGCCATCAACATAATATTTCTATGTCATTCACTTATGTGTGTATTCCTTATGCTTGGTCTGATTTGAACTCTCTTTGTTTAAAGCCACAGGTGGAAATTCGAATGTAGCGCAAAATCCAGGATCTCTGAAAGGGACATTGCCTTTGGAATCAGGAAAAGTAGCTACTATGGCGAGCGAGAAGCAGAATGCAACATATTTTGGACAAGCAGGAGATAAGTATTCTAGTATGCATAGTGTTGCATCGCGGGATAGCGATAGTGGAGAGGAATCTTCTTATTCAGAAAGGGAATCTATCACTTTCTCAAGAACTAAATCGGGTATGTTGCTAAGACCAGCTCATGTAAGAAAGACGCTAGCAAAGTTTGAAGAATCAAAACAGTCAGCGGTTGTTCAATCTGCAACTCGGAAGAAAAGCGGATTGGCTGTTGAGGAGGAACCACAAACTCAAAATGTACTTCTTTCAGAACAGAATGGTAGTAAACCTTTTGATGCTGAAGATTCTACCATCAAGAGTATTACAGACAAGTTTGAAAAAGGTTTATCATCGGAACCACCGACTGATGAAACGAATCGTAGGTTCCCTGTTCTCAGACTTAGTTTCATGAAACTTTAGCTTTCATATATTTAATCTATCTTTTGACTATCTCTGCAATTCTGCCTCAGGTATGTTCCTTAAACCACCTCGTGTCCATAGGTCATCAAATAGCAAGTACAATGACCTAAAACGAGTAATGTCCGCTGATTCTGCAACTTTTGACAAAGGTGGGATGGAGTACTCAGGAGACGTAGAGGATATTTGCAGCAAAACTGAAAGAGTTCTTTCACCAGAAAAACCTGGTGATGAACAGAAAAGTAAGTTCTTGATTCAAAAATCAGAACTGACTAATTTATGGGGGTTTTCTCTATTAAAGCAAACTCCAAATCTTATGCACATTAATGTGACAGGCTTATGAGTGAACTAAAAACAGTCCACGATGCCAAAATACATCTATTTAGAAGAGCTACTAGACTATATCTAGTTACCAAATTTTAGAGAAGAATAAATAAAACGGCAGAAAAGTCTTGAACAGTAGCGTATAGATTGCTACAATCTAAATCTTTAGCTACTGTTAGAACTTGCTTCAAATTGTTCATCATCTGTAGTCTGTTGTAGTTCACTTACTTGGTTTTGAGACAATGATCAATTAGTAATTGACCGGTATAAAATTTCTGTTCTGTAGACACTGAATACCCTAGCAGCAGCAGAGAATTGAACCCTGTGAAGATTGTTAAAGGAGGTTAGAAATTCAAAACTTTTGCTATCTTTGTTTTTTCTTCTTAACATTTAATTGGCTGGTTACAGTTTCCTTATAAGTTGATATGTTTGCAGTAAACGTTGTCTCGGGGAGGACACGCTCGTTAGTTGAGAAGTTTGAGAGAGGAGAAAAAATTACTCATACCGAAGCAGCCAGTACAACAATAACTCAGAACACCAATGCAGTGCAGGAAGATCCGCGTAAGACATCAAGACAGACAGGTGAAACTCCTGTAATATCAACACGACGAGCTAGGAGTACTCCAGCCAGAGTGATGCCTATTGTTCTCAATCGGGATAGTAACATGACATCTGATGAGCCTCCTTTAACACAACCAGCTAGGACTTCTTCAGTTCCAGTGATGCCTGTGATACTAAATCAAGCTACTAATGTCACATACGATGAGCCTTCTATAGCATTGACAAAAGAATCTAGAACTTCTCCAGCCCGTATATTGCCTGTTGCATTCAATCAGGCGGCGACAAATATTACACCTGAGGAGGCTTCTGTAACATTAAGGCGCCAACGCAGGAAGTCTGCAACACGAGTAAGGCCTGTGTCACTCAGTCAGGCAATGGACATGACATCTCACGAGTGTCCTGTAACATCAGTACGTCCAGATAGAACTTCTCCAGCCCGTGTAATGCCCACAAAACTAAATCATCCTGTTAACATGACATCTGAAACATCTCATATAGCATCCAGGCACCAAGTTAGTCGAACTCAAATGTTGGCTACACCCACTGTGATTGATCAAGTGGCTGATATGAAATTGGATGAGCCACATGCAACACAAATTCAACCAGCTTGCGATAACTTGCCTCAGGTACTTTGCAATGATTAGCCTTGGCAACTTGGGTGGCAGTTTTTTTACTTAGGGAGCTGTATACATGACAAACGTAATTGATGGTTTGGTTTGTGCAGAAGGAAGAGGCTCAAATATCTGGGAGGGAAGATGATAGTGACATCACTGAAAATCTAATGCAAACTCATAATGAGTTCTTAAGCACTCTTCAATCGAGGCTGACAAAGTTACAAGTAAGCATTCTTGTTTCTTTTTTGTTCTTTTTCCTGACCATCATTTGTTATAGTATTAATTTGCAAGTGGGTGACTTCTCAACATGCAGATTGTAAGACATTTTTGGGAGCGTAGCGATGTTAAAGGCGCAATCGGGGCATTGAGAAAGCTGACAGATCAGTCTGTGGGTTTCTCAGATTCTCAGTAGATTACTTTTTTCTTTGATGTTTGTATATTTAGATAAGCTAACTCATAGATATCGGGACAGGTTCAAGCAGATGTGATCAGTATTCTAACCGACAAAATAGAGATTCTCACATTGGATATGTTTTCTCAGTTGGTCCCTGTCCTCACAAGCTTATTGGGTAGCAGGACAGAGAGGTAAAGATATCATATCATATTTCCACCTTAGACCATATTATTTGCTTTTGAGCTATAACGACTTCATAACTTGGTTTTTAAATGAGAGCCGGGGTAGTAAGACCGATTTACTGATAAACATTTTCAGTTCAAATGATTCACTCAATAGTCCTCTGGTTAAACAGAATTTTATAGACAGTCATGTGTTTTATACTTTTATCTGTTGTCGTTTAATCTGAGCTACATGACTGTGCAGGCCGGTAAATGTCTCCTTGGATATGCTCTTGAAGCTTGTAGCAGTGTTCGGTACAGTTATACGCTCAACTGTCTCAGCTCCACGGATTGTCGGTGTTGATCTTCATGCAGATGAAAGGTACTTGAGCTAACACCACTCTCTGGAATCTCAATTAGTTTGCTACGCTGATTCTCATTCACCAATAAAAGTAAATGAACCACAATGCAGGCTAGAAATTTGCCAAATTTGTTCAGCGGGATTGCACAAGATTCAAAGGATTCTTCCAGTTCTCGCAAGGTAAACAGCCTAAGCATACTGCTTTCATCACATTCCTAATGAATTTAACCGATAAAAGAGTAATTTCTGGAAATCGAATTCTTCACTCATTTCCCTTGTTTTGCCTCTCTTTTGCTCTGAATATAGAAGAGGCGGTCTAATAACAAGAAAGGCTCAAGAACTAAACCTAGTTCTTCAAGAACCATAGCCACATGCAAAATCAACAATTGATCATATAAGCGGTTCGCAAGTTGTTGTAATGTATATTGCAAAGAAGCGTCTTTGTGTCTCTAGAGTCCAATCTCACTGAGGTTTTTATATATGTAGAGATTCATCTAGCAGAGTCTTTTGCTATGGGATCGAACTAATGGTTGTTGTAAATCATTTTTTTTTGGCCTGAGTAGCTTCAATACCTGATTTGTTGTTGTTGTTCCGTGGAACTGCGACTCATATTGATTTAATTATAAGTTTAATTCCTAACTGATGTGCTAATAATGCCTTTGTGTAGTCTTTCTTATTTTGTCTACAATATCATTTGTAATAGACAAAATGGTAGCTCTAACTGAACCAAATCGCTATGTTATTGTGTACTGTATAGTGTCATTTTCCACTAATTGCTTAACAGGATAAAATAACAAGTTGCGTTGCAAATTCTTGTAATCAATCATAAACTTTTAAAATTAAAACTTTCCACTTTTGGTAATTCGAAAAGATTAGTCTTAACCTTATTCACCGTTTCAGGGATTTCTTCAGTTTCTTACATGACTTCTATGATGAGATCACCTTGTTAACCATCTAAATTTCAAAGAAAAACTTGCAAACTACCTAAAAATTATACTAACTCTTTCACGTTTCATAAGTATTAGTCTTAACGTTTTATCCCATTTGCCATTTTCGGATTTCTTCAAACTTTTTACATTTGCTCAACCGGTTCTTGGATCTAAAGTATTTTTGGATCTTTTGCTAGAAAATCTAATCAGAATCAAACCGAAAAATATCCAACCAAAAGAAAAAGATAAAATCTTTAAAAGAAAAAATATTTCAATAGAGAAGTGAATCTAAATACTAGCTAGTATTATTATCTAAACTGAAAATTGTATTATATATATCAAGCTAAACTACGAAAGATCTAAAAACGAAAAATCTATAAAACAAAAGAAAAACACAAAACGTAAACATGAATTCGAATGGAGCATATGTATTAGCAAGTCACATTTTGGTTGCAAAAATCAAGAAGAAGAACAAAAAAAAATGGTTTTAACTTATTGGGTTTTGGAGTTGCGTAAGTCAACAACTATACAGAGGCACTCCTGTCTCAATGAAGTAATTGTTAAAAATAATGGAAGTACGCAAAACATGGAATTGCATCTTTTTTTTTAATTTCTTAAAAATTAAATTTCTTTTCTTTATTAAAATAAATAAAATTGTCTCGTATTAGGTCGAAGAATCCAAAAATTCAAAGTATGATTATCTTATTTATTTATTTTCTGTCAACCTTCTAAAGTACTATTTGACATAGGAGTAGGACACGAGTCACTACCAACTTTTCTAAAGATTTTTTGCTTTTTATTACTTTTTTATTTTATTTTTAATTTCTTATTTGATTATGTTTACCTGATTCAACCAAAATATCTGTTATTAGGTTTAGTTTCGTTTAGTTTCAATGGATCGATAGATTATGGAAATAATTCGTGGCTATAAAAAAAAATCATGAGTTTTTGTCTTCCTTTCATGCAAAGCAAACAAAAACTCTTCTTCTCTTCTCCTCTGTTTCTCTTTCTCTTGAGCTGGCTCTTGTCTTGTCTACTTTCATTACAGTGACTCTGCATGCTTCAAGGTCTCGTCTAATTCTTGAATTTTCTTTTCCTCTGTTCGTAATTTAAAGATCCTATCTTTCGACAAATTTAATTTCATCATTGACCTTTGTCGATTCCATTCTCATTCTCTCTCTGTTTTCGAAGAAACCGAGAGAGGTTTAGATTTAATGTTTTCCTTCTATGTCAATAAATTTGCAATCAATGGGAGCTTTTTAAAATCCTCGTTATAACAATAAACAGTAATTACTCTTCTTAGATCTAAAACAATTAATAAATCTTTCCCTTTTTTCTCTTCATAATTTTTTTTGTATTTTCTCTTGTAAAATTTTTGCTTAGCCGTTTCGCTTTCTAAGGCCCCAGATGATTCGTCGTCTTCTAGGTCAGCTTGTAAAACCTGAGAGAAGCCATCTCTTGTTTGCTGTTACAAACTTTGCCGCTTCAATATTTCATTGCTGTTTTCTGGGAAATCTTTTTTTAGTTTTTTTTGGCTTATTAGGCCTTCTAAAAAGTTTCAATTTTTTGTGCATTAACATGTTTTGGAGACACTCGTCATGTTTGTGCTTTGCTTAGTGTAAGTAGAAGTTTTCTTTGTAATGTTGGTTCTAAAATTGATGACTTTTTCTTGTGGGAAATTTAGACTGATTTCAGCAACATGCATGGTCTTACAATCAGCCTATAAGACTGAGATTTAGTGACCAGTGAGGTGGTTTCTTGTTCTCTGTTCTTGGGAGAACACAAAGGCAGTGTGGAGTCTGGTGAGTTTCCTGATTCTTGAAAGATTTATAAATTTTGTTGCAAAATTAGTCTTAAGTGGGTTTATTTGATTGTGTAGCAGATTTTGATGCATTTGAAGATTGTTAAAGTAGATTATGATACATGGTTTGCCATCTATGAAGTCGATCAAATCATTGAAGTCACTTGTTAAAAGAAAAACCAATGCTCAAGAAGTGGTATAAGCTTTTTTCTACTATATAGAATTCGATTATGTTACCATTTATGCTGCTCTCAAATGACTATAGCTTTGAATCATGGTAAAATACAGAGTAAAACTGGGTGGAAAATGAAGCCCTTTTTGGCTCTTATGTGTACAGCTCTTCTGATCTTTTGGTATAAGACCACAAATATTCAGTTTGAACAAACAGAGGTAATGTTGGAACAAATTCTATCAGTCTGATGTGGGAATTTGATTATTTGAGAAGTAAACTTCTTTCTTACTTTGTTCAGATAGAAGAAACAGATTATCCTTTTGACATGGCAAAGGTAACGTTTTGATACTTGGATTCATCATATATTCTTCATTTGTTGCGTGAAGTTCACTTGTGGATGGTGTTCAGGAATCTGAAGTAGTTAACGATAAATTAAAAGGCTTGCCTCGTGGAATCATACAGTCTAGATCAGATCTTGAATTAAAGCCTCTATGGTCTAGAAGTAGTCTGAGGTCAAAGGTTAGAGGCATCAAGAATCGCAGAACATATTTTTTATCGAGTATATTTGTACCGAGATGAGTTTCTGATGTTTGTTGTGATTATTAACACAGGGTGTCGAAATGACTAACCGTAACTTGTTGGCAATACCCGTAGGAATTAAGCAAAAGGGTAATGTCGACGCTCTTGTAAAGAAGGTATTGCTATTTTTGCTTCAGTTGATCATAATCCAAAGCATTGAAGAACAGAGGATTCCTCTTAACGTAAAGCTCTTGTGTCTCAGTTTCTTCCCGCGAATTTCACGATTGTTCTTTTCCATTATGATGGAAATATGGATAAATGGTGGGATCTAGATTGGAGTTCAAAGGCCATACATATAGTTGCACAAAACCAGACTAAATGGTAGTTATCTTCCTCATTCTATATGTCAGTTATTCTGCTTCAACTTGGGATACCGAGTTATATAGGATGATAACTAGTTTTTGGTAGAGTCTTAGGCATAGTCAGTTGATGTATCTTTAAAGCAGATAACAAAGAAACAATGTTTTGTTTAGATGTTCAATTGTGTGACATTGGTAAATGAATTTTCCTCTCTTGGTTATTATAGGTGGTTTGCAAAACGATTCCTCCATCCAGATGTTGTATCCATTTATGATTATATTTTTCTTTGGGACGAGGATCTTGGAGTAGAGAATTTCAATCCAGAGAGGTATAAGTTGTTCTTCTTTACTCTTTTCTACTACAAGTCTTCAAATAATCATGAGAGTTACAGAACTAAGTGACAATTATTTTCTGCAGATATTTGAGGATAGTTAAATCAGTGGGACTGGAGATATCTCAACCGGCTTTGGATCATAACTCAACTGAAATCCACCATAAAATCACACTCCGTTCTAGGACAAAGAAATTTCATAGGTTTAAAGTCCTCATTATGAGTGTCTTTTCTTTTTGTTTTCAATGCATTTGGTACTTATATCAACATGATGTCAAAAACACAGGAGAGTTTACATCAATAGAGGCCATAGAAGGTGTTCTAATACTAGTGCAGATCCTCCTTGCACCGGGTAATGGTTTGGTCGGCGATGAATAATTTCCTGGAATTATTTGCTATCTGTATTGATACATTTTGTTCTGTTTTCTCTGTTTTCAGATTTGTTGAAGGAATGGCTCCGGTGTTTTCGAAAGCTGCTTGGTTTTGCACTTGGAATCTTATACAGGTAACTTTTCACTTTGATGGCTATTTACCTCTATATAAGTTAATAATCTGATCCTGAAGTAATTTTCACTTGCTGACATTTTTGTTTTGATTTCTGTAGAATGATTTGGTTCATGGATGGGGAATGGATATGAAACTTGGGTACTGCGCACAGGTTACATATTTTCTGTATAAATCATAATCATAGTTCCAAGATTTTGTGGTACTAACCAAGAACTTACATTAAGCTAATGATTTCGCCAAAACCTGTCACCATTCTTCTTCCTATTTCTGCTATTACGCATAGTTTGGCATTTTTTATCCAATTGTCTTTTTAATATATGATCCGGTATGAATGTTGTAGGGAGACCGAACGAAAAACGTAGGGATTGTGGATAGTGAGTATATCGTTCATCAAGGCATTCAAACTTTAGGTGAAAGTGTTCCTGAAAAGAAGGTATAATAATCTCTTAAAACCAATACAGAAAGGACTTGTTTTGATGATCCAGATGACCAAACAATTATCTATATAACTGTTGTTTCTATAATATTCGCAGACCACTGCTCGTGATGTTAGGGCCAGGGTAAGTCTTATCGACTCAAAAACATTCTCCATTTCTAATTCTTTTGGTTTTCACTAAAAAAACTCCTTTGTGATTCTTTTTTTTGTCGATATTCAAGAGACACGGCCATACAACCTTTGATTCAAGAACCGAGGTGAGTTAACCGATGAATTCTCGGTCAAATTCTTCTTCTTAAAGTGTTCAATAGACGGGAAAAACTTAGCATCATAGTGTTTGTGTCGTCTGATGAAACAAATAGATAAGGAGACAATCGACGTGGGAGCTTCAAACTTTTAAAGAACGATGGAGCAAAGCGGTAGAAGAAGACAATAACTGGATCGATCCATCGTCATCAAGCTCGATGACAAAGAGGACGAGTAACGGTAATAACAGAAGATTAAGGCGTGGTACTAGTCACCGAGTAAAGCATAAGAGAACTCAGGAGACATCAACAACAACAAAACACAAATAGCAAAAGAAGGTTTTTTATACACATAGATAGTGTTTTCTTTATCTCATTAACCAATTTATTATTATACTCTTCCATAGTTAGTATATAGGTTTCTTTGAAGTGATGGAAAAATGGTTCATATTAAGATTTGTAAAAGCTCATGTCCATTATGTATTTTCATCACTCAATTACTTTTAAAATCAAATAAAGAGACCCCCTTTCCTAACTTATTCTTATTGAACCAATTACAAATAAAAAGGTTTTTTGAAGTTTATAAAAAATGTGTTTGCTTTGGCCCATTTTCCAACTGAGACATGGACCAGAATGAAAGATGTGAAGTCTACGACTACTTGAATTTGAAAATACTTTATCCAAAACTGTATTTGCTCAAAGGGCATTTTTTCAAACCTACGACTACTTCAATTTTTTCAAATCTCTCCACTGCTTTATTTGAGTGTCCCTACTTCAGTTGGAAACTTAGAAAATTAGATACTTTAATTGAAAATTATAGGTATTGATCAATGGAAAAAAAAAAACTAATGAAAAGCAATTGCTTAATTGAAAGAAACTGTTTAAATTTTCAAAATAAAACTAAAAATGATTTGTACCTACATAATTTTCTCATCCTTACCAAATTTCTCCTCCTATTTAATTTTAGTAGATTTTTTATAAAATAAAAAATTAAAGATAATATTTTTTTTTGGTAAGTAAAAATTAAAAATAATATTGACAAAAAGGGAATAATCAGAAAACATAAGTAAAAAAAAAAAAAAGAGTTCCAAGGTAAAAAAATATGATATAAATGGATGTATAAAATTTGTTGTCGTTTCCATTTCCCCCTTTCAAAGTTTCATTCCTCGACCAGATCAGATTTCAAGTTGTGAAATCGAGAGATAAGCTTTGGTTAACCATGGCTGGTCGTTACGATCGGAACCCATTCGACGAACAAGACGAAGTCAATCCTTTTGCTGTAAGCTTTTTACTCTTCTCTTCTCTGATTTCACCACTGAAGAAAGTGAAAGAAACTCCGGCGTTTATCTCCCTTAAAGCTAGCTTCTTCGAATTGGGTTTCCTGAAATTGGTGTATTTGGATCTTATCAATTTAACTTAGGGTTTATTTTGGAGGTTGTTCCTGGTTCTGTGTTTGCTTTACTTGGCTATCTCTTTTGGCTGTATCTGTTGATTACGAGCTTAAACCTTGGATATTGTTAAGGAATCGATAATTGACGAGAATGTAATCCAAATTTATTGAAAGTTTGTTACTTTCTAGTGCTGATACTATGGATTAACGTAGTTGAGCACAAGTAGACCGCTTTAGGGTTTGTGCTCGAGTTCTTTATTTTGGCTCTTTGATGTTTTCTTTTGGTATCTCTGTTCAACGATTTCTTGCTATGTGATCCTTTTTGTTTCTGAAGACCATTTTGGTGCCTACTGATTGTTTATTTGTCTACATTCATAGAACCCTGGGAGTGTTCCTGCTGCTTCGAATTCCAGATTATCGCCTTTGCCTCCGGAACCTGCTGGTTTTGGTTATGGTCGTACCGTTGACATTCCTCTTGACAGACCTGGGTCTGGTAAACAGGTTTGATTGACAATGGAGCAAACATTATACATTTTGTGATTAGGGGGTTATTTTGAATTCGTTAGAATAACTCTTGTTTTAATGTTTCATTGTTGGGGAATACAGGATTTGAAAAAAAAGGAGAAGGAGCTTCAAGCCAAAGAAGCTGAGCTAAGACGACGAGAGCAGGTATAACTTTAACTCAAGCATCACCCTTTGAAACTCACTTTTACAGTTCCTGAAGAATATTCATTTTGTTGAAGTGGCATCTTTTAAACTTTTTGTGATTAGAAAAAGCTAGTTTGAAAGTATTTTGTGTATCTTTCGTCTTCAATTGCTGATTTATTTTGTTTCTGTTTAGGATCTCAAACGGAAAGAGGATGCTGCTGCACGAGGTACATATCTTATATGGTTTAGGAGAGCATCATCTACCTCTTTTTCAGCATCTGTTGCAGTATTGTTACTTAGGGATTTGAATTTAGTGTTAAATGTACCCTATGATATGTGTCTCTGTTGGTTGATTTGTAGTTTTACTTCCCTACATATAGCCATCTGATTTTACTCTTATATTACCTTTCTTTGTAGCTGGAATTGTTATTGAGGCAAAAAACTGGCCACCCTTCTTCCCACTTATCCACCATGACATTGCAAATGAAATTCCAGTTCGTCTCCAAAGGCTACAGTATATTGCATTTGCAACATATTTGGGTACGTATTTATTGTCTTACTTGGAGAGTCAAGACTTTACCCAAACACTCTTATTTTCACTTCATTTTATATAGGTTACGTAAGAAAATTGTAAGATAGTAATTTTACTTGTATGTTTCCTTGTCCAACAGGGTTGGTTCTTGCACTTTTCTGGAATATCATCGCCGTTACTACCGCTTGGATCAAAGGAGAAGGTCTCTTATTTCTCTTACTCATGTTATTTTCCCTCTTCCGCTGGTCGAATCTTCTGTAATGGGCTTTCTCTGCATATCTTACAGCCTTGAGTTTTGTTATACTTTTTCAGGAGTAACAATTTGGCTTCTCGCCGTTATTTACTTCATATCGGGTGTCCCAGGAGGCTATGTGTTATGGTATCGGCCTCTCTACCGTGCCTTCAGGTTCTTATTTTCTCATCCCTAGCCACTAATGTTGTGTATAAATGGAGGAAAGGTGTTCGTAGTATTTTTATTTTTCTACAGTTTCTTACTCAATGTTTCCTTTGTGTTGAATCCTGCAGAAGTGATAGTGCATTCAACTTTGGATGGTTTTTCTTGTTCTACATGGTGAGTTCCTAACTTTTTGGTGATATTATTGGCACATCTTTTGCATAATCTTTAACGGATTTACCTTGAAATTCATCTGATACCTTTCTCTCTGGCTACAGCTCCACATACTTTTCTGCGTCTTTGCTGCAGTTGCTCCTCCTATTGTCTTCAAAGGAAAATCACTTGCGTAAGTTTCCTCAAAAGCTTTAAGACATCTAGGGTTAACACAGTTAATGTTTAAGTGTCTGATGATCTTCAAATTTACAGGGGCATATTACCTGCAATAGATGTGTTGAGCGCTCAGGCATTGGTCGGGGTAAGCCCTTTTCATCCCTTGATCTTTCGGCTGCATTACTCTTACCTGATAAAACTTGGAGGCTCCTGATCATACTCATCGATGATTCTTGTTTATAACTTTTAACAGATCTTCTACTTCATCGGGTTTGGGTTATTCTGCCTAGAATCAGTGGTCAGCATCTGGGTTATTCAGGTCTCTTCCTAATCCCTAAACTAGTCAGATACAATCTCTGGATCGATATAGTTTCTGAGGCAAAACTGATTTTAACATTTGAGATTGGCCATTTGATATGTGCAGCAAGTATACATGTACTTCCGAGGAAGCGGGAAAGCGGATGAGATGAGACGGGATGCTGCAAGAGGAGCCATGAGAGCTGCCATATGAGAAAAATGTAAATCAATGATTGTAGTCATCTCTTCTGAAGCATTGCATGTGATGTGTAATGTTTACACTCTTTTTTTCAGTTGTTATTTAGCTTCACTGATCAATTTTTCTCTTGAGCTTTTTTTTTTGTTTTTGTTTTCATCAGGTGTTCTTAAAAGTAGTAAACGTAAAGCTCATGTATAAAAATGTGTTTGTTCAATTTGAATTCAGATTAGTTACACACTTGCATACTATTCATTGTTTGTTATGAATTATAATGGCTCAAAAATATCTAATCTTTCTAAAAGAACACCTAATCTTTCTTGTAACTTTATTATTTTTCTCCACTAAACTTTTTTAGTGTGACACTCAAACTACTTATTTTCCCACGTGAGTTTTGTTGTTAATCTGGAAACTATTAAGAACATTTTATTAATTTAAATTTTGGTTAAATGCATTAGGCATCGAATTTATAAAAGAGATGTAAACTTTTTTGGTTTTAGGCACGTGAAATTAGTGCAAAATAACCACATGTATTAGACTATTAATTAATCATAGAGCACTTTAAGATTGTAAGAATCTTTTTTTAGTCTTTTATCCTAGTGGGAACACAAGTTGGTGTCCACTTTATCGTAAAGCTACTTATATTTCATAAATTAGTCATTAAGTATAAGCTTGCAGCCATCAATGCAATGTACCTGGATAGATTACAATTACGATTTACCCACTCAGCCACTCACAAAGTAATCAAAGAGATAATTAATCATTCATACGAATAAAGAACGTCTTGGCATTGGGTCAAACTTGTAATATTAGCCAAAAGCAAGGTTGTTTTGGAGAGCACTTTGAAATTTATATAAGACCTATGACTATGAGTCCTCTTGTGGTTGTTACTTGTAGCAAATAAAAAGCATTCTTGTTTTTCAGTGAACTCACTTCTTCTTCTTCTTCTATACTTTCCAAAAGACTTTGACTCCGAGACGCAGAAAATGGAAGGAAGAGGAAAAGTTAACATGATCAATGGTGGAGATGGAACAAGAAAAGGTGGTAGAGAACACATTAGCCGTCCGATCCCGAAGAGAGGGCAAGTCAAAGTTGGGATCTTGCTAGGTTTTGCTAATTCCTTTGCTTCCATCTTTGGCTCCACCAGAAACTTCCATGGATCCTAAACCTAATCTTCTGCTTTTCATTTCCCACAGAAATATTTTCATTTATTTTTCAGAATTTTCTGTGGTTTATTGGAGTGAGATAATGGTGATCTTGTAGTCTCTAGTTAGTTTGTTGAGTTCATTTTCATTTGTCTTTCACTTTTGTACAAATCCTATGTAATTTCACTTATTAAAATATTTTGTGATATGAAATTGAAGTCGGCAGAGTTAGTGCGAAGGCCCAATAACGTATAACTAAACCCTAATCAAATTCGATGAAATCTATCTTTCAACGAAACCCAAACAGATGACGTACACTCACCATCCTTCACATGACGTCGTTGTTATGAATCCTTCAAACGATGTCGTAAAACGCAAGTTTCGTAAACAAACCGTTGCATTTTCTCTCATCGAGTGATTTTCCTTTTTCTAATAACATTAAAAAATGGAATTTCCTTTTCTAAATTTCCTTTTTCTGAATTTCCTTTTTATTGGACAACAATCTCTCTGTTTATAAATACTCAACATGTCTTCGTAAATCAAAATCATATCACGTAATTGTCACCAAAAGAAAAAAAGGAGTGTTCTAAGGGCAACGAGAGCAAGCATACACCGAACAAGTCAGAGGTATCATCTTTTCGTGTTATTCTAAAGCTATGAATCGATTTGATTTTTCACTGAGTTAGGGTTTGATCCGAAACAATTTCGTATGAATCTTTCGCTTTCAAGTTTGAGCTTCGTTTTGTTTTTTTTTAATCTAAGGTTTGATGGGTTTGTTTTGGATTTTGTGAAACAGGTGACCATCGTCGTCAAGTCACCGGAGAGAACAAGGCTCAACCGTCGGGGACAAAATCGATTAGGACACAGAGTCACACCATATCAGTGAGCAAAGCCATCCAATCGTTCGACTACTCAGACCATATCAGTGAGCAAAGCCATCCAATCGTTCGACTACTCACAATCACTCAACAAGAAGAAGTATCTCAAAATCCTCTGCTTTTCTTGATCTGTAAGTAATCTCAAAATCCTCTGCTTTTCTTTATTTTCGTATGTTTCTAAGTTTATTATTTATCCCTCAACCAAATAATAATTAATCCTTCTCCGTTTTATTGGATTTCAGCTTATTCCAAGGTACCCTAGAATTATTGACATCATGATCATCAACACTTATGCGCTGTAAGTAATTTCTTCTGTTTTAACACTTATTTTTTTATTAAAAAATGTTTTTAAACTTATATTTTGGATAAGTGTTAAATTTTTAAATTTTGTGTAAACTAATTGGACACAACATCCAAACCCCTAAGCGGTGTCCTAGGTTCAATATGGTTTACACATAATATAAATTTTTAACACTCATCTTTCTTTTATTAAAAAATGTTTTTAAATTTATTTACTATTAAAACTTTAAAGTTTTTTTTATAAGTGTTAAATTTTTATATTTTGTGTAAACTAATTGGACACAACATCCAAACCCCTAAGCGGTGTCCTCGGTTCAATATGGTTTACACATAATATATATTTTTAACACGTGTTTTTATTTTATTAAAAATGTTTTTAAACTTATATTTTTATATTATTAAAACTGTAAGGTTTTTTGATAAGTGTTAAATTTTTATATATATTTTTAACACGTGTTTTTATTTTATTAAAAATGTTTTTAAACTTATATTTTTATATTATTAAAACTGTAAGGTTTTTTGATAAGTGTTAAATTTTTATATTTTGTGTAAACTAATTGGACACAACATCCAAACCTCTAATCTTTTGCTTCCATCTTTGGCTCCACGAGAAACTTCCATTGATCCTATGATCCTAAACTTAGAATGCTGCTTCTCATTTCCCACAGAAATATTTTCATTTATTTTTCAGAATTTTCTTTAGAGTGAGATTTCTTATTTAAGATTGGTGATCTTGTTTAGTCTATAGTTTGTGATTTCATTTTCATTTTGTACAAATTCTATGTAGTTTCACTTGTTAAAAATAGATATTGTGATCTTTCCTTTAGATGCTAGATTCTCATTTATTTATGTCAATTTGATCACTAATATTGAGCTTTTCGACTTTTTCTTAACTTGAATGATTGAACCAACAACTGATAAAACAATATTTCTCACAATTTTTTTTATGACCGGACTCGATATTTATAAATAAACAGGGATTAATTGAATAAAATTATCTATTTCTTAGAACCACTAATCTATAAAACGATCATTCGAATATACGATGAAATAATATTATTGAATTACCATATAATCTTATCCTAAAGACTTCTAAATTAATAAAGCAGCCCACAGGCATTAGCAGTCAAATAGATAATAAAGCTACTAAAAGAAAAGAATGTCCGATCAGCCTTGTTTAATTTTGTGATGTATCAAATAATCTCTTAATCAAATGCTTTGATGGCCCGGTATGTCCGGTTTGGTTCAAGTGGCAGCAACACCAGCAATAGCATGATCGTCACTAAAAACCCGGTTTAGTATCATGGCTAGTCTAACTCCTCCCTGAACTATTCTTTTCATCACTATTGGCAACCTTGTATTGAAATATTCCTCTGCAAATTTATTTACCGGAAATTAAAAAAAAAAATCCTCTAGTTTTCATATAAAAAATTATATATCAGCGACTATTAAAAAATCCTTAAATCCGATTAATTAAACTTCATTTGGTCGGGTTCATTTTTAAACAATTTTTGTTTGCGTACAAGAAAAGGAAGAAGCAAACAACGTACCTGATAACGTTTCACCAGACTTCACGCCTTTGTAGCCCCATTTACAAGCTAACTTTATACTCTCCGAAGCATACCTACGTACATAATTTAAATTCGTTCATAACCTTTTTTTACATGATCGTCAGTCCACTAATCACTGTAAATTAGTGTAAATTGAGTTTGAATTGAAAGTTTGTAAAACTTAACACTACCCAACTCCAAATAAAATATTTAAACTCATTCTTTCGTTATTAGATTTTGGACCAGAAAAGTTTCAAGATTTGTAAGGCTGGCTATAAACGAGCGTCGAACCAATCTCAAAACCAAATAATTTAAAACTTACTTGTGAGGACAAGCTATAAGATCGTTGCATTCTGTCCACGAAGATAAATCATCGTGCCATAATCCCTAATATATGATAACCATTATATTGGTGAAAATATAAGTTCTTGTCGGTAAATCATCGGTAAAAAAAAAAGATTCTGAAAATTGTAGTAAAATATAAAAAATTGTGTGTTTATTACATTGGTGATGTTCTTCTGAAGATCCTCTTGGAGAAGATCCAAGTTCTTGTCGTAGCTTTCTTTTAGAGCGGTGAGAATGATCTCTCTGTCCCATACCTACACATTTTGTTGCATTAATAAATCCTTTCTTGTTTTCGTAATGAAATTCAAAGTTGTAAGAACCAAATTAAAGAAGAAGCTTACATGATGTAGATTTGATTTGTGTTTGTACCAACGTAAATCTATCGTGTTTCCTCCTTCATCACTTGTGAATCCCACATGCATCGGCTTTTTAAGGACACAAAATCCATGTGAGTTAATTATCTAACATAAAAATAGAGCTATATGTGTGTGTGAAATGATGAGTAATAAACCTGATGAATATCTCCCATGAAATGAGACAAGAACAAAAGGGCTTCGGTCATGTTATCTACGAGATATTGAAAAAAAGAACTCATCATTTAAATACTATAATAAATAAATAAAAACTAAGTTAAAAATACATTAAGAACCAAAATGTGTAGTTAAGTTTTAGATATATCATTGTTATAGTAAATAAAAAAATGATGACGTACATCTACGATCAGATGTTCCTTCACCGTAATGCTGAAGTTGAGACGTGAAATTCTGGATTGCTCCATCCACACACATATCCTTCAATCCATGTTGATCATGACAATCCCCTGTTTTTGATTAAAAAAAAAAAAAATCAATTGTTTAAGCATTTTTTCCCCGTAAAGCATACCGTGTAAGATTAGATCAAATAATGTTCTGAAAGTAACCCTGTTTTGTATTTTTTTGTAAAATTTGAGTTTTGGTTAACTATGGTTCAAGAGAATTAGAAATCGGATTAAGGTTAACCAATGTTTTGGTTGTGACTTACTGGAGTATTCGTAAGAGCAGGCTTGGTCGGGAGTGTCGATGTAATGGAGATGGCTGGTCCAACGGTACTTGTACCAATGTCGGATCTGGTCAGGCCACACACACAGTGCTGATAAATCTCCTTTCACGTAATCCGGTAACAGATTTTCAACTACATGTGCCGGTCCGGCATCTAAAAGACTCTGTTCAAACCACACAAACACACACATGAGAACTTTTGTTATGAATCTTATGATTCTCAAATCTCTACCAAAAACTTCACACTTGATATGCCTTGATCATTTGCCAATAGACTTGCTTGTATTCATGATCATCTACATGAGATATTAGGCATGGTTGGTAAGAATTTTGAAAACTTTCTACGCTTCTATAGCAATTTAAAAGTCAATTATACTTAACAATTTTGAAAGCTTTCTCACTAATTAAAACTTAAGTTGCCATTTATTTCATTATCCGCTCTGTTATGTCCTTTTATGTAGTCTAAAGTGATTGACACAAACCGATAACCAAAATACTTGATTTAAACACTAGACGAATATACCGTCATTAACTTACCTGAGCAATTCTACAAGTAAGAATATGACCTTCTTTGCTCCAGCTTTCGACAGAAGAAACCGAACACAAAATCAATATACCTAATACAGTAATCAACCTCGTGGATGATCTAAAAGCCGATGTCATATCTTCAAACTTCAAATCTTATATAATGATCTCTCTCCTTTTATAAGAATGACTTCTCTTGTCTATAACAATTTCATAGAATTTGCAAAAAGAACCCACATAGAGTTTATAAATAGAGAGACGAACATATTATAAATAGAGATACAAGAATGGACTTACAAGTTAGGTTAATCAGAAGCAACACATATGATGTTGAGTTTGTGTGCAAGCAAGACATTGCGAGTCTCATACGTTCCTCATAAAGTTGCCAATAAGAACACGAGATATAACAAGATAAATAGTCGTTAATTTATTAGTTAAAGCATATTCCTTATATGTAACAGCATCATCCATGTTTAGCATATCTTAAAATAATTTAATCAACGCCTAATCTTGCAAAACATTTGCATCTTTTTAATTTGTTTTCTTTGTTCTTGTTTCACATTCTTTAGATTTTAGAAGATAAATCGAACCAAAGCACACCAAACCGCAACATAAGTTCTAACCGATTTTGATTTATTGACCCAATTTCATTTCGGTTAGAACTTTTAAATCGAACCAAACCAAAACAAACCGGCCGGAAAATAACGACGGAGAACTTCGGTGACTTTTTTAATAATAATATTTTCTTGGTCGCAAAGTGGACTTCGCTGATTTTGAACCGGTCAATGATGAACAGCTCCTGGACTCTGGTCAAAAAAAATTCTAATCAAACAAATCTTTACCATTGAAGAATCGTACCATTACAATTCTGTGAAGTTGTCTACTTGAATCATCTTCTTCGATAATCAGCCTCTTGTTTCAATCAGGTTTGCTCTTTCTCTACTTCTTCCTCTTTGTTCATCTCTAAGTTCAGTATCACAAAAAGCTTCGATTTTGATGATCCTAGAGAGCTTCAAAGTAATGGGTTTCTGCGAATTGTTACTCCTGTTAGCCCGATTTAGCTGTGTCTTGTTAAATTTGGAATCTTTAGCTCGTTCATGAATGATTTGATTCTGGGTTTTCTTCTAGAGTATAAGATCTGTGACTTAATTGGCAAAGAAAGTATACCAAAGTAGTGAGCTTACTAGTTAATTACTGGGAATTTCTTAATAAGTATTTGTATCTCAGGATGTTTTAGTTCTTTTCAATCTATAAACACTTGATAATTGTGCTAGCTGCTACATCTGATTGGAATTTAAACCATTGTTTGATTTCTTTTTGGGAATCGTGATGAATATTGTGTGCTTAACTTGTTTCATTTGATGCAGAATGATTGACTTAGCTACTCTATCTCCTGCGGAGATCACTGTGATGGGATCTGTGTTCTGTGTTTTGCTCTCGATGCACTTCACTATGCAGCTCGTATCCCAGCATCTGTTTTACTGGAAGAACCCTAAAGAACAGAGAGCCATTCTAATTATTGTACTTATGGCTCCTGTTTACGCTATCAACTCTTTTGTGGGCTTGTTAGATGCTAAAGGAAGCAAACCGATCTTCATGTTTCTAGACGCCGTTAAGGATTGCTATGAGGCACTCGTAGGTTTCTTGTAGATTCTCTCAAATCTCCTTGTCCCTACATTGACTCTCTCTATGTGTGGATATTTCTTGATTTGTTGTATTGCCTCTGTTTGTTTCAGGTCATTGCTAAATTCTTGGCTTTGATGTATAGTTATGTAAACATATCGATGAGCGCAAGGATTATCCCAGATGAAATCAAAGGGAGAGAAATCCACCATTCGTTTCCAATGACTCTTTTTGTTCCCCGCACCACGCATCTGGATTACCTCACACTGAAACAGCTCAAGCAATGGACATGGCAATTTTGTATTATTCGCCCAGTGTGTTCCATCTTGATGATAACACTACAGATCCTTGGGATTTATCCAGCGTGGTTGAGCTGGATCTTCACCGTTATTCTAAATGTTTCGGTTTCCCTGGCGTTGTATTCTTTGGTGAAATTCTACCATGTTTTTGCCAAAGAGTTGGAGCCTCATAAACCTCTTACAAAGTTCATGTGCGTCCAAGGAATAGTCTTCTTCTGCTTTTGGCAGGTAAATACATAATTTCTAACTTTTTCTTTACCTGCCAAATCAGAAGTTCTCTACCTACTAGTTTCTTCAATCAACAAACTGAGTTTGATGAGAAAGCAATCAAATTTTTCTTCATTCTAGCTGATAAAGACAATGGAAAGATACAGATATACTTTTATAGTCTCTAGAATGTCATAAGATGTTTTGGGGTTCCCGCCTTGTTTCACTGCAGTGAATTAGAGTTAGACCATTAAGTTTTCTTGTCTAAGTCTAGTGCAGGACTAATTTAACAGGGAATTGTAGCTTTGCCAGCTCAGCAACAGACCTTAGGTTGTTTAGTTGAGAGCTGAAGGTTTAAAGGGGAACTCTTTAGTCTAGGATTTTGGTAATGTGCATATGGTCTGAGCGTTGAGATTTTTCTCCTTAATTGAAGTCTTGAGATTGTATAGCAAACGAAAACCATTTAGAACTCGTTGGTTGGTCCTTGAGACAAACAAAGTCTCATCTCACTAGATTTTAGGATCACCGCTGCATTTGGTCAAGTAGTTGAACATTCTGAAAGTTTAAAGCATTCATGTATTTTGCGCATTGTTCCTCTCTTAAACTTGGGAATTATGTGTTGTGCAGGGAATAGTGTTGGAGATATTGGTGGGATTGGGATTAATAAAGTCACATCATTTCTGGTTGGAGGTGGATCAGCTTGAAGAAGCTCTACAAAACGTGCTTGTGTGTCTTGAGATGATCGTCTTCTCCATCATTCAACAATACGCTTTCCACGTTGCACCTTACAGTGGAGAAACCGAAGCTAAGATGAGAATGAACAAGAGAGATTGACTCTCTGAGAGAAGACCCCTTTCCAAATTTAGACCAGAGATTTTGCTTCTTTTTTTGGTTAATGTGAATGTTATTGATGTTATGTTACAACTACCATAGTGATTAATAATGTATCTTTTGTGTTTTGTTCTCCCATATTAGGAAATTAGTTGATTCTGAAGTTCCTATAAGAGAAAAATATCTTTGGCTTTACGCAGAGAAAACAAATATCTATTCAATGACTTTAATTACATTGTTAACGCAGAAGAAATATCACTAGGTAAAAAAAAAAAAAAAAAAAAAAAAAAAAAAAAAAAAAAAAAATATCACTAGGTGAACCAACCACCCTTATCCAATCAATAATACAAAGAAGAGATTTTGTTTATCCGTGACTTTCTACTTTTGTTAACTTGTTATTGTCGTGTATTGAAAGACAACAAAAAATTATGAAGAAAATGATTTTAATACGAAAGACCATGACGAGCCACTTCGTTGTCCAGTCTCATCGACGCGAACCTCTCGTCGTTGCATTTTTTTATAAACGCTTCTACTCTCCGGTTAAGCTCATCCCGACTCCGAGTCACTTTCACCTTCTTCACCTTCACTAGCGGCGGCGGTGGCGACGGTAGAGACTGGTCACTATTAGTTCTGTCACTAAACGACTCCGATTTCTTCAAACCACCAGATAGTTTTGTCTCTTCGCCACCAAGTCCGAACGTGTCAGGTCTCTTGTAATAACTGGTCAACGGAAGCGTTGACTTGTTGCCTTCCATGATCATCTTCCACGTATTCTCTAACGTCTCGTTACGCTTCGGCTTCGCCACTCTTAACGCTCTCATGGAATTCCTTTCTGAAAAATTACGAAACTACCCTTTTAACAAATAGTAGTGTTTTTAGATTTTTTATAAAATATCTAAATTCGTATGACGTCACCTTCAAATTATTATTTCTTGTAATTAAATATCTAAATTAAATTACCTGCTGGTGTAGTCTTAACCACCGGTTTCCGTTGGCCGATCCTAGCCGTAACAAGAGGCTTCTCCACCGGAGGTTGATTTTCCGATTTGCTCACCACCACTAAACACTTCTTCTCCACCTCCTCCTCTACCGTCGCCGGCCTCTCCTTCTCTTCATACACAACCTCCGGCTCCTTAACGATCTGCAAAACTTTGCCGATGAAACCAAAATCCGCATCTTTCGTCTCCGTCCGCTGTCGGAGAGTAGGTCGTTCGACGATCTGCTGATGATCAGTCTGAAACTTATTGTCACCACTGTAAGAAGCCTCGTAGTCTTTGCCGTCGACGTGGCTGGAGACAGTAGTAATCCGGTAAGAAACTCCGATAACGATGATGATGACGTTGGTGATGACGTAAAGATACGGCGGTTTCAGCCACGTGAGGAAAGAGCTCAAGATAATCGGATCTTGTGAGAAATCTAAAGCCACAGGAACAATAACCTTTAGATGCATAGCCGTGGCTACGAAACCAGTAGAGATTAGCACCGCCTTCATCCATGACGCCATTTTTTCCGACTATGTCACTGTCACCGTTTCTCTCTCTGTGTCTCTTATTATTTATCGGAGTGTGGTATTGTTTTCACGCTCTTAGTCTTAGCTCTGATGACTCTTTATTCTTTCGGTTTATATAGGGAGCTAGGGAGGGGATATGAGATAGCTCATATATACCGTTGGATCTAAGAATAGAGACATGAACGGTCAGGATTGCTTCTGGCAGTAGATATGCACCCCCTTGTATAACAAAACAAGAGTAGAGAATAAACTTTTTTTTTTTTTTTTTGTTTCAGTATTATTGAACATTGACACGTACACCAAACTTCACGTGTCCACACTTATATCTCTTAATTTTATCCCATAATTGTCTTTCATTTTTTACGTAAAATAATAATTCTCTTATTAGTCAACCTAGTATGGCCACTTCGTTATAATTCCTTATTTTTGTTTCCGATGATTTCTCAATCCCACGTTATGGCCACGTCTTTTAGCCTTGTATCGCTTATTTTTAGTTTTATCTTTACGGTATATTGCGGATAAGTTAGTCCAGAGTTCAGACAGACAAAATATGAATATGTGTATAGGTCTTCGATCATAAAAAAGAATAATGTATTGAGCGAATTCATAACTTATAATTTATTTTATGAAGTATAAGTTAATATGTTCCTGTGTGTATTAAAAATAATGTTGATTGGATGTAAAAGAGTTATTTTTCTTTTGAATATAACATTGAATTCAAAAAAAAGAGAAGTAAAATATCTTACCAAAAAGAGTTGTAAAACTATCTAAGATAATATATTTAATATTACTTTTATTATGTATTAAATTAGAGTAATTTTTGTTGTTTTATATAAAGACAATCAAGTAAAAACAAAACATATTATTGAATTTTAAAAAGTAAAATTTAAAACGGCTTAAACATCACTTGATATATAAATAAAATGTATAGTGTATAATCTCAAGTTGATAATATGTTACTAGAAAATGACATTCAAAACTCTTTTCTTAAAATCAATTTGTAAACTATTTTACTCATCATAAGTAATTCTATACCACAAAACAAAGTAATTCATAGTATCGCCAAAAACGCAAGTAACACTATTTTGTTATTATGATACATTATCTTTCAAATGATCTAGTATTTTACTTATGTTACTGGATTAAAATGAAGGATTTCTCAATAAAATTTATCCCCGAAGGCGGAAACCCACTAAGATATTTTCTTAAGAGTTAAGAATTATAGTAAGAACGGGCCAAGGTAGATGTCAAGTTTCCAACTGTCGTATATATATTTGACTCCGACTCGTCTCAAGTGGCTATCCACTCTTTACTATTTAGTCTTTTTCTTTGTCGACCACTACTAATTTCGCTTAGAGCAATGATGAAAATTTTACTACTTGCTCCCTCAAACCACATATATTATTCCTTTTACCTCTTTCCCTTTTGATATCTAGAGAAGCTCTTAGGTTTTTCTTTAATATTTTATTGATGATTTTTTAAAAAGGGATATGTTATAATGGCTACTTGACTCCAAAAAAGCAAACACATATATAGTTAATTTAACAGTGTCATATAATCTTTGTTTGATTTGATTGTTTATTTCTATTTGGATTGAATAACTAAATTAGAAATATTGCTATTTGAAAAATCTATTTATAATTACTAAATTATCATATACTTTACATAATGATCTCTATTAACATCTTTGGATTTGTTGATTTGTATTATGATTTTAGATTTTATATTTTTAAAGAAAATTACAGACAATGACATTCTGTCTTTAACATACAAAGATCCTGTTAGTATTAAGGGATAATATATTTTTGTGATGTTAAGACGGTAAGAATTTTCAGAAGCTATTTTTGACTTTAATTCTCACAATAATATTAATTTCCACATGCTTCATTTGATGCACATCTCATCTAGCGCAAGAAGCAATAAGAAATTCCATTATATTAGCTAATATATTACCGACATAGAAAGAAGTGGCAAACGAAACTTCGTCGAAATGCAGAACACGACAACGTATCCAACTGCCCTGCGATGTGACTGTGATGGTGAGAGTGAGTCGCAGAGTTTTTCTGACGTTCGGCCGTTAGAATTCACGGCGTAATAGTCAAAGCTCTTTTGGATGAGAATCCAAGAAGATCCAATAGTTAAACGACCAGTCATACGATTACGCGTAACGATGGTGTCATTCTCGACCGAAGAGTCGTTGCTAAGCAAGCAGTAAGCACCGTTCACTGTCCAGTCCAGAGTTATAACAAGATATGTCTCGTGTCACTCACACACATCTAACACGTGATTACTGGCTCCAGATTTTCTCGTTATACTTTTTTCTTTTCTTTTGACAGTGATTATTCGAATTAACCTAAGGAAAACTAATGTGAAATTTCTTCTTATTGAAAACTAATGTGATTATGAAAATTACCGAAAAATTAGAGCATGATGAGGGTCTGCTTGTTCATTCTCTGTATCCTTCTCAGATTTTGCATCTCCACTATGCTCACAATTCACAATGACCTGCGACCATTAGCTCTTCCAATTTGTTCTGCGTAGTTCATATACAAGATTCAAACAATACGAAATAAAATCAGCTGAATGCCCCAAAATCAAAATTCAGATACAAGTAAGAGATGACTATTGTCTTCTTCGTCATTCAACAATATGTTTTCACATTATTCCTAACACTGGAGAAACCAAAGCTAAGATAAGAATGACCAAGAAGAAGGATGATTTATTTTGAGAACAGAAAGAATGACAGTAAACTCTTTTGCCGCCAGTTAAGATCACAAACGAATGTTATTTTTTGGTCTAAGATGTTAACAAAACAATGGTGAATCTGTTATGTTTCTGTGAATGTAATGTTTTGCCTTGTTACAAACTCCATGAAGAATAATGTGCACCGATTTCATTTTGCAAATTAGACGTTACCGTCGGACCACTGAACCGGGTCCTAGGGATAGCCAAGTGAGACCACTGTTTTAGACTCCAAGTGTACTAAAAGCTTAACTAGGTCACCTACATCTATTTTATGTAAAACATTTACATATAGTTATATTATTTTCTCTTTTGGATATTTGATGAAAGTAGTATTTCCAATTTAGGCTCCATCTTAAACTCATTATATCTATTATGGTTTAAATCTCCTTTTTTCATTACCATGGAAAAAGAAAAGACAATTAAATAGTAGTAAAAAACGATTAATATATAATTAAGACAAAAAGCTAATTAATCTCGTGTTTAATTAAGCCACTTTTTTCTCCAATTTTAGCGACTCCAATCTCTCTTCCTTACACTTCTTGATAAACGCTTCCACTCTTCGATTCAGCTCCTCCCTACTCGGCGACATCTCCTTCTTCATCTTCACCGGCGACGTCACCGTCGGAGACAAGTGTCGATAATTAGTAACGTCCCTGAAAGTCTCTGCTTTCCTCAAGACAGGTTTTACATCGCCGCCGGCGTCAAGTCCGGACATACTGGTTTTCCGGTAATGACTAGTCAACGGCGTTGATTTCCCCTCCTCCGTTATTATGTTCCACGTGTTCTCCAGTGTCTCGTGCCGCTTCGGTTTCACCACTCTCAACGCCTTTTTTCTGTTAACGCCTACAAAATAATAATTCCTATTAGTAAATTACCAATGTACCCCTCCAAGGTTTACTTCGTTTTTAACCGGTTATTATCGGTCATTGTCGTCGACACAATGTGAAAATTCAAATAAAATGTAGCCGTTACGTTGAATGACGTCATCTTTTCATCAATTATTAAATTCATATTTTAAAACTTTTTGAAAAGTGACTACTCTTAACGCTCTCCGGTACCTTTTGAACTCGCTTTGACCGGTTTCCGGTGGCTGGCTCTAACCGAGGCCAGTGGTTTCTCAGCCGGAGGGAGATTCTCCGATTCTTCCAACACAATAAACTCATCTCCACCGTTAATCAGTCCCTCCTCCTTCTCTTTATACACAACCTCCGATCTCTCCACCTCCGCAACGAGTATCGGAGAAGGAATCATCGCCGCAAAATCGAAATCAGCGTCCAGATCTACATCCGTCACTTCCAGCAGTGGCGGAGGAGCTTGGCTGATGACATTCTGAATCGTAAATTCGTCACCGGTTAAAGTCTCGTCGTCTTCACCGTCACCAATGCTCTGATAATACTTGGAAGAAGCTACAATAATAGTGATTATGATGTTGATGACGACGAAGAGGTACGGCGGTTTCAGCCACGAGAGAAAGGAACTCCAGAAGATTGGGAATCGTGATACAGAGAAGTCTACTGCGATAGGAACAGAGGACTTCAGAAACAGAGACACTGCGGCGATTCCGGTGGAGATTAGCACCGTCTTGATCGAAATCATTGACGAAACCATATTTTCCGATTTGGGGTACTCTTGATCTGTCGACTGTTGATTTATATAGGTGGAGAGCTTTATGTGAAGCTTAATTAGGCTATGATTATAACCTACACCGTTGGATCTAAGAATATGATTATATGAAGATGGACGGTTAAGATTGATGAAAGGTTTGGCCAATGGTATTATGGTAGGTGACGTGTCATTTTAGTTTGTGTCAATTCTGCAATCTCCAAAATTCTCTTAATAAGAAAACAAATGATACATTGTAATTTTCTTAGTCGACCTACTATGACTATTTAAAAAAAAAAAAAAAAAATTCAATTGTTTGATTGACTCCCACGTTGTGACCACTTATTTTTAACCTTATGTTTTCGTTTTCTTTTTGATAAATTTTCACTTTCAATCACCGGAGAAAAAAAAAAAAAAAAAAAAAAAAAAAATATGCAAACGTATTGATGTACTTACCACAAATAAGAATTAAGAAATTATGTAGTTTTGGTTTTGTTCGACAAAAACAATAAAAAAAAAACATTAGAGTTGACGCACGATGAGATCTTGTAAAACGAGAAGAATGATTTAGTAAACATATATAGTAATATAGTTGTTTCTGATTGAGCCAAAAGAAAAATATAGGTGTTCGTGATATATTATCCTTTGCTGATAACACCAATTGAACAAATATTCAATATGTAAATCTTGCATGTAAACATAAACCTGATTGGTTGACTTACATATATGCAACATTATAAGAAATAAACAAGACAATGTTATGCTAGCAAAAGAAAAAACAAGTTGCAACCTTGCGTGTTTTATATATTGGCTTCCCCTTGGTCTCAATGTTATGTCTTTGCTTTGTGTGAATTGTGAATCTGTGATGTGTGAATGTGATTTGTGAGTTTATGTGCTTTTCTATTATTCACGGATACTCATTGAGACCTTCATGTCGTTAATGTTTTCAATTCAGTCTTCCCATCAATTTTTTTGTTTGTAGTTATGGTGGATTGATATGTAGCCTATATCAATTATGTTCCCACAATTTTGCTTCGTTTAGTTAGCCGGCTTGATAGATTGACGTATATGCATGTACATGTGTTCCATTTAGTAATTAATCAAGAAATTGTACGATACAAATGAGGACATCTATTTTTAAGACGTTTTTGTTAGGGTTACAAATCTCATGGTGGCTTCGTGGTCCCGTAATTTACCACTTACATTGTTGACAAGTGACAACCACAAATTACTTGATTTTCAGATTTTGGACTTTATAACGTAGTGATAAAATGAATAAAAGATCTTCGACTCTCTTTTTTCTTTTCCTTTTTGGTTCGAAAAAGATCTTCTACCAAAGAGTTAAGATAAATCAAAGGCGTCTTCTCGCCTCTCGGCCATAATCAATGGATCAAACAATTCCAAAAATTTTATTTCCTTAAGACGTGGCCAAGGTCGAGTTTCAATTCTCAACTGCCATACATTTGACCGTTATTTAAGGTAAAGGTCGGTTCTAAAGATCTTTCGTGTCTCTCTGCTACTAGAGAGTTGTTCTGATTTATATCGTAACGAAGGATTTTTTTAGTTATTGTTTCCACTACCGCAGCAATTGGTTGTTACCAATCAAACAAAATTTACAGGAAGATTTAGTGGTCAAAGAACTTGGTGAACGGTAAAGCGAGTGTAACATTACAGATTTGATTACAAAATATGATTGTTACTACAAAACTCAACATTATCCAATTGTTACCCGCAATTCCAACTACAGGAAACAATCCAAACGCTCGAGAGTCCGAATCATCAGAAGCTATCCGAATCATCAGAACTCTTTTAAATAAAGGACAAGAGAAATTTTTATTCCTACCGCGGAGTCTTTATCCCTCTTGCTTGTTTCTTCTTATCCCTTTTCTTCATAGTTTTGGTGCTTGACCGTTTCCTGCTCTGTTTCATGGGTTTGGTTTTCCTCACAGGCACAGGCTGCTTTGTGGAGGCTTTGGCCGTGGAACCCGATTCTGTTGACTGGGTCTTGTCCTTGCGAATAGGCTCTTCCTCTTCACAAGATATCGCGCTTGTTGTCACAGTTACTTTCAGCTCGCCTGTATCATACATCGTCGTGCCTTTCATCCACAAAGAAACACAACAAATATCAGAACAAGGCCAGTCAAAGCAAAATCATACTAAGGCAAAAGCAATTCAATGGAGAAAAATACACTCAATAATGCTTCTTCTCCATTCCAATCAACCAGCTTACACGTTATGGCGACAAACTAATCCATCATTGCTTAATGAAGAACTAATACGATTATGAAAATATTACCAGACGTTGAAGCATCAGGCTCTGCTTCTTCATCCTCTGCATCCCCTTCATCTTCAGCTTCCCCATCTTCATTATCTTCGCCATGACCAGCAACCATTAACTCTTCCAATTTTCTCTGCAAAGCTCATATACCAGATTCAGAACAATACGAGAAAAGATAAGCTCGAGGCCAAGGATTAAAATCTACATAATATAAATGATTAAACAGCAACAATCTCTCTGACATATCATCCACTATTTCATCACTCATACATCACAGCCCCTATCTAAGGACATTCTGAAAGATGTAAAATTTGGTTTAACATTCGCAGTCAAAACAAAAGAAGCACTCAAATTTCTATAGAAACGAATCAGAACAAGCTCATTGCACAACCTCTTACCAAAAAGACAGTGTTTTAAGCTCCAGACAAATCCAAATTTAGCTACACGAGGAACTTAAGACTAATCTATAATGATGAATGACAGAATAAAGAATCAACAGTTTGATGCTCACATTCTTACGGGCCTCGATACGTTTCCGCCTCAAAGCTTCCTCCTGCTGCTTCTGAGCTTCCTTTCTTCTTTTCTTCTTCCTCTTGTGAAAACCAGTCACAAAATCCCTACCAAACAAAACAACACACAGCAGAAAACTCACTAATCATGCGAATTCAAAGATACCCAGATTGAATCAGCAGTGAAGTTAGATTTTTTTTTCATACTTGAGATCTTTCTCGTCAAAAGAGACTGTGAGGCTTTTGTTCTTGCGAGCTCTCTTCCCAATATGCCTAGCGCTGGTCGGCGGAGCAACTGAACCGGCCTCCTCATTGTCCAAGCCTTCATTCATCGCCTCCGATCGGAAACGAAGCGATTCAGGTCAAAAATTAGGGTTTGTGAGGTTTAATCAAAATAAGGCTAGGAAGAAGAATTTCGAAGCAGGAGCCAGGAGGCAGGAAAATGGACTTTTAATTGGGCTTTAGGCTTTAGGCTTTAGGCTTGGCCCAATAGAAGGGTAATGACGTCTTTGACCAAATGGAGCTAATTTGGTTAAGAAAAAGTTATGCCATTGACTAAATTTGGACAATTACCAAAAGTGGCTTGTGTCTCTCGTTTCTAACAAAACAAAATAAACCTTCCAACAAAACCAAAGTTTTTCTTTTTCACTCAAAATAAAGAAGAAAACGAAAAACTTCTTAGCATCTTCTTCCTCGTACTCATACAGAGGATGATGATGGTGATGATCATCATCATAATCAATTGCTTTTGAACAAAAACATTCAAAGAAAAAACACAAAACCCAAAAAAAAAAAAAAAAACTTTTGTACATAACTAAGCCTGAGAAAAAGAAAAAAAAACAGAGTAAAAATGAACGATTTATTCTCTAATTCATTCAAGAAGAACCAGGCTCAACTGGGAGATGTTGAGGCAGGTCAAGAAACGATGAACCTCGACAAATTCTTTGAGGATGTCGAGAATGTGAAGGACGACATGAAAGGAGTCGAGACTCTTTATAAGAAGCTTCAAGACTCGAATGAAGAGTGCAAGACGGTTCACAATGCCAAGAAAGTGAAAGAGCTACGAGCTAAGATGGATGGGGACGTAGGAATGGTCCTTAAAAGAGTTAAAATCATTAAGCAGAAGCTCGAAGCCTTAGAGAAAGCGAATGCTAATAGCCGTAATGTCCCGGGTTGTGGGCCCGGTTCGTCTACGGATAGGACTCGATCTTCTGTAGTTAGCGGTCTCGGGAAGAAGCTCAAAGACTTGATGGATAGTTTCCAAGGTCTGCGTGCTCGTATGAACAATGAGTATAAGGAAACCGTAGAGCGCAGGTCTTTCTTTTCTCTAGGTTTCTTGTGTTGCAAGCTATTGCTCTGTTTGTTTTATTGGGTTGCAAGTTATATAATTATGCTGGAATTGGTGCAGGTATTTCACAATAACAGGAGAAAAAGCAGACGAGCAAACAATCGATAACTTGATAGCAAGCGGTGAGAGCGAGAATTTTCTCCAAAAAGCGATCCAAGAGCAAGGAAGAGGTCAAATCCTAGACACGATATCTGAGATCCAGGAGAGACATGATGCAGTGAAGGAGATAGAGAAGAATCTACTGGAGCTTCACCAAGTTTTCTTGGACATGGCAGCTCTAGTGGAAGCACAAGGGCAACAACTAAACAACATAGAGAGCCATGTGGCGAAAGCGAGCTCGTTTGTGAGAAGAGGGACTGATCAGCTCCAAGACGCGAGGGAGTACCAAAAGAGCTCCAGGAAATGGACTTGTTACGCCATCATCCTCTTCATCGTCATCTTTATCCTCCTTCTCATTCCCCTTCTACCTCACATAATGCTCATGTTGAAGAAGTGAATTTGCTAGAGAGTTGAACTTGATTCTCAAAAATCATCTCTTCGCTTGTTTTTTTTTTTGTTTTGTTAATATATGGAATGGAATAGTTAGATTACGGTGAAACCTTGGCAAAAAATTGTACAGATTTTTGAAGCACCGGTTCTTTATTATTACTGTATATCTTTTGACAATTATTATCTTCATCGTTAGTGTTTATGTGACAATGTTGTGAATCATAGATGTTGATATGTTGGTTTGTTTGATAGGTCTCTGTAAATTGTTGGTAGATAGAAAGTGGGATGATGATAAGGCCTTTGAAATGCTAAGCATGGCCCTTCTATGTATATTGAGATGAGATAAGTTAACAACAAAAAATGAGTAGACAAAAGAAGCCAATAGCACTCAATTATTGTGATTCTTGTGTAGGTAGGTCAGAATATATATTAGCATTAAATAGTAGAATCATTAGAGAAAAGTTCAACGTTGATTTAGAGGATAACGAATAGAATCTATATTATTTTGTTCGCAAACCCCTTTTTGATTGCCCACTAATAACAAGTCTAGTTACGACATTATCACAACCACAATTTCATAATTTCAATTGGCATTGATGTTTTAACTTCTCTCCATCGTCTACGCAATGAAGCTCCAAAATCTTGTCACATGACTTTTTCACAACCAAATACCACAAGAATCAGAATCTGACAGCGATCTATTGGTAAGTTCAGCAATTATCTTTCGACATTTTGTCAAAAACAAAATCTTAAAATACACTGATTTAATTTAGAACGAAAAAAGTATTGAATCGCAATTTGTAAGTCAACAGTGGACACCTACCCATTACCTGGTTATCATAACCTAAGACAATCAAACTGATTAACATTTGATGAAACGTCACAATCAAGTCTAAATTATTAAAATCGTATGAGCACTGGAGAAAAGATGACTTATATAAAGTACAATATTCATCAACATGTCTTCGTCAAGCAATCTCCTCTATTTTCTGTATTAGTTTTCACATTAATTTGGCGCTAGTTTTCTCTGTCGATCGTTGCTTTGGTTTCGATTTATTAGTGTGCAGATCTTATATAACATGAACGTTTCATTAAAAAGATATAATATCTACCGAAAGATTCCAACATCGATCATTTAAACACGATTTATAACTACACACAACAGAGAAACAAATTTTTAACACGAACTATGATTTTACTCGGACGTAGGCACGTAGCCATAAGAGCACCATTATCAATGGTCTTTTAATTTTGGTTCTTAAGAATTTTTAGTATTAAATTTATAAATTTTGGCTCTTAATTTTTTTTTTGTTCCTTAGCTAAGGAACTCATCTTAGATTTAATGCATTTGGGAATTAATTTTAATCAATTAAATGTTGAGATCATCTTAAGATTTTCTTAAGAACTCATTGATAAAGATGGTCTAAAACAACTATATACTACATAACGTTAATACGTACTATTCGTAACTTCTACCTTAAAACATTTGAAATTTGGAAATATCATATCCAATATTTTGCATAAGTTGAGATTTAATCCTAGGATCTAATTACAACGTAATACATTATTATTCAATCATTAATGATAAAGTAATTTCTAGTTACTAATCTATTGTAAGAGATGAGCACAACTACGTCATAATCTATTTTAAGAGATGAGCACAAAGATGGGTACTTATCTTTTTCGTGAAAACTAAGGAATTTGCTGTAATGGCGTTTCTGTATGCATATATCTTTCCTTTTTGACGTCAATAATATAAATATATAATGACTATTTCCCTTCTCAACTACTCAACGTCGATTTCAATTACTTACTTTGCTTTATTTATTTGTATATCTATACGTATTTTATTTTCACACCTAACTTTGTTTTCGATATTACATTATTGTTAGGCTATAGGCTACATAATTTGGATGCTTAAAGTTGTCCGTGACAAAAATCAATACTAGGAAGATAGAGTAATTTGACAAAAATCAAATATACATGAGAATATGAGATGATGAGAATAGAAAACAAAAGTACTATATATATTTGCAAATTTATCTAAATTATATAAGAGATTTGCCATATTTAGCTGACTTTGTTTTTCTCTCTAGTTTCCTGTTAAAATATTTATAGGGATGTAAATCAAATAAAATGATGTAACCAAAGTACCAAACTCAAATAAATACATTCTGAAAAATTAGAGAAATAAATTGGAATTCTTTGAAGTTCTTACGCAGAGATACTATAAATGACAATTATATCCCTACCTTCATCTTCATCTTCATCTTCATCAACTTGTCACTGTTCCAACCCCACCAAGAAGGCCACTCCCGTAAAATCGCCATTAAATTCTCTCTTTTTCCCATTTCCTTCTTCTCTGCTCACAAAAAGCTCAACAATTGAAATAAAAACCCAACGAGATTTCTTTAAATTCTTGTTCTTTCATTAGTTTCCCTCTTCGTAAACAACAACAAAGGAGAGATTCATTATGTGTTCTCTTCTAAATCACTGAGAAAGAAGAACCTATTCCACGAAATGGGTGAAGCATCAGTGAAGGAATCAATATCTTCTTTAATCTCACTCTCTCACTCAATCAAATCCTTCACCGTGAAATGGCAATTGATACGAAGCAAGCTCGAAGAACTCTACTCTGGAATCACTTCCTTCGAGAATCTAAATTCCGACTTCGACCCATCTCTCTCCACCTTGATTAACGCCATTCTAGATTCTCTCAAAGAGTGTCACGATCTCGCTTCACGATGCTTGGATGTCTCGTTTAGCGGGAAGCTCTTGATGCAGAGTGATTTAGATGTTATGTCTGGGAAATTCGAACGCCATGTGAGGAATCTTTCTCGGATTTACTCTGCTGAGATTCTCAGACATGGGTTCGCGATTGTTGTCTCGAAGCCTAGTGATAAAGCTTGTAGAGATGATATGAGGTTTTACGTTAGGGATTTGTTGACAAGGATGAAGATTGGGGATGTGAAGATGAAGAAGCAAGCTTTGGTTAAGTTGAATGAATCTATGGAAGAAGATCATAGGTATATGAAGATTGTTGTTGATATCAGCGACATGGTTAATGTTTTGATTGAGTTTTTGGATTCTGAGATTGGGATTCAAGAGGAGGCTTCTAAAGCTTTGTTTTTGATATCTGGGTTTGATTCGTATAAGCCTGTTTTGATTAGATCTTGCGTGGTTGGTCCTCTGGTTAGGGTTTTGGAAAACGGAAACGTTGTTGGTAGAGAAGCGTCTGCAAGGTGTTTGATGAAATTAACTGAGAATTCTGAGAATGCTTGGTCTGTCTCTGCTCATGGAGGAGTGGCTGCTTTGTTAAAGATTTGTTCTTGTGGTGAATTTGGTGGTGAATTGATTGCTAGCTCGTGTGGAGTGTTGAGAAATCTAGTTGGTGTTGAAGAAATCAAGAGGTATATGATTGAAGAAGATATGGTTTCTACTTTTATCAAGCTTATAGGATCCAGAGATGAGATTGTTCAGGTACATTCTATTGATCTTTTGTCAAGTATGTGTTCTAGAGATGAAGAAAGCCGTGAGATTTTTGTTAGAGGAGGAGGAATCCAAGAACTTGTGCTTGTATCAGATCCCAATTCGTTCTCCTCTTCCAAAGCTAAGGAAATGGCATTGAGGGCAATTCATAACTTGTGTTTTGGGTCAGTGAGTTACTTGAACGCATTGTTGAGTAGCCGTTTCTTAGATCATTTGTTGTATTTGCTAAGAAATGGGGAGATTTCTGTTCAAGAATCCGCGTTAAAGGTTACATCCAGACTTTGTAGTTTGCCAACGGATGTTAAGAGGATAATGGGCGATGCAGGTTTTATCCCCGAGCTAGTTAGGTTCCTCGATGCTAAATCTTTACACGTCCGGGAAATGGCGAGCGAGGCGCTGTATTGCTTGATCTCGGTCCCAAAGAACAGGAAGAAGTTCCTGCAGGAAGACTGTAACATCAGCTACATTCTTCAGTTGCTAGATCAGGAAGAAAGGATGAATGAGAGAAGTGATTTGGGTAACACGAAGTTCTTGATCTTGATATTGATGTCGTTAACGAGCTGCAACAGCGCGAGACGAAAGATTTCGGCTTCTGGTTACTTGAAAATCATAGAGAAACTAGCTCAAAGAGAAGATTCAGATGCTAAGAAACTTGTGAAGAAGCTATCTAGGAACAGATTCCACACCATACTTGGTGGTATTTGGCATTCCTAAAGAAAACGTTTTTTTTTCTTCTCTTTTTATAATTTTTTTTTTTACTTGTGAAGTTTTTGAGTGTATATTTATTTACAGGTGTTTATTTGTAGTTCTCTTCTGGCCTATTAATCCCAGTTTCATGTAATCTCCAAAAGTTAACTTAAAGTGTACAGCTTTACTACATAACTATAATTTAAGTGATAACACAGATTCTTGAGATTCTTCTAAGAAACTGCAGTGACGTTTATTTAGGAGTTTATTGATCAAATAAAACATTCTTTAACTTGACTCCCTCACACCTTTTTGTCTGTAAATTTTTTGACAAGTTAGTCACGCAACTTTTTCTTAGATTTAATATAGGGATTTGTTTAGGGGGAAAATATAATGAAACTAAATTTTGGGATTAGCAATATCTAAAGGGGTGTGGTTGGAAGTACATAGAAATGGAAAAGCACATGGGTTACGTATGGAACGGAACAAAACCCTTAAGAGATAAACAAAAAGCATTAAGATATGAATGGTCTCTCTCATATACCACAACTCAGTTCTATGGAGAGACAAAAGTGGTATATGAGTTATGAGAAAGTGATGGGATCAATAAGTGGGTCTTCATTTATTTATTTAATAATTCATGTATAAAATTTGCTAATGGGATGTATTTCAGTATTTAAAAACTTTTTAAGACATTTGTTTTCAAAGCCACGTACCTTCAAGGTGGTGTTGGAGTAAAGAATTGGGAGGCATGTGCGTTGGGTTGGGCAATTGAAAAAGCATTTGCTTGCATTTATTTGGCTAAGGACCGCTTCATAACTTCAGAGAAACGATAAGATACCACCTTCTCTTTTTTACGTCAAGATTCATCCCTCTTTTCTCTGTATTTTCATTATATTATATGTTCCCCATCCATGAATACATATTTTCAGTCTCTCAATCCAAAGCCTTTGGGAATTAGAAATTCTGATTAGACAAAACTTTCATCTGCTAAATCTAAAGATTTTGAGTCCTTTTTCTACTAGTGAATGCATGCACGTTTCAAGGTGTGATGAATTTTCATTGCTAATCTTCTAGTAAACATTTATATCGACTATCGACGGATCATAGTTTTGAATGATACAATAAGCCAATAATAATTAATAGAATCACTTCTAGATCTTGATATCAGCACATTCATTTCATTTCATGGATATGTTTAGCCTCTTGTAGAGGTTTTGGGCCTAAGCCTTCTTTTTCTTTTGGGTAATTTACTTCTTGCAACATATTGGATTTAGATTTTCGACTCATGACTAAAATGACATATTCTGTTTACGAAACTGTGCTGAATTTAGACCGAAAATGTGAAACACCTTGAATCCTATTTTATGTCGACATATTAAAAAAAAAAACTAGCATCGGTTTCTGCAAAATAACCGTACTATTAATCCCGGTAATAAACAAATTTCATAGTTAAAAATTCATGCAAGATCACTACATATGAAGCATTCATGCGAAAGTCCAAACAACCAACCACATAGCAGACTTAAGTTTATTATAACAAACTAACAAATAAACTATAGATTTTTCTATCCTACACTTTCTTTTTGTCCTTAATTAACGGCTAATAATTGTTTAGTTGATCGAATATTCAATTATCAATTTGTGTGTGAAGCTTAGTACTATGAGTTTGGTGACAACAACTAATCAAGTCGTAAAGAAATTTTTTAGTTAATTAATTTATATTTTGTTTATATAAAAATCTTTTTTTAGATTTTTGTTTCTCTATGCAAAAAAAAAGTCAACGGACGGAGAGAGCAGCAAAGCCTTGGTGTAAAATTGCTTTGGTGTCGCCATTAGTTTCAGCCGTTCGGCACGCATGAACATGATTCGTACGTCAACGCTCTTAAATTTTAATTGCAATATAATTCTATTATTATCGACACAAGCAATTACAAAGTAAAGTATGTTTCGATGAATGTCGATAAGAGTTTGATTACTCTATGAAAATTCAATCATGCATTACTAATTTACTATACATAATGAATATTATAAATGACACGAATATTAATTCATTTTCTCTATAGATTTCAAAGATTGATCTAATCTTTGATTATGGAACACCGAACACTCGATTACCAAAATAAGAAGAAGTATAAGCTATACTTATGTTATTCTTTGCATTCGGAAGTGTATCGAATCATTCTAAAGGATGCATGTAATAGCTAAAGTATACATACACTTGACTTAAATCGTTCGTTTATATCATATGAAAGTCTATATCGCAAATCCGTATGCATACTTTATTTTATTCATCAAATTGGTCTTTGTATAAGAGATTAGAGACTTATCTTCTTCGGTTTGTTATGTATAGGGAGATTGGCCCTTGATTTGGTGCGAGTGTAGAAGAGAGCTTCGCTGCAAAATAAATTTAAATGAGAAAAGTCATGCGTCGACTCTTCATACTTAAACATTGATAGATATGAGATATCTATAGATCTATTTTAAATTCGAAGTAGTATATGACTTTTTAACGATACATAATGTTTCGGACTCTTACGAAAAAAACAAAAGTATTATTAAATTTCATTGGCAGCACTATATATAAAATTCATAACGGCGATAAAATGTCGTCACAACATGATATAACAAGTGGACTTAACTTGGTGACATCTTAGGAGATGCATAGTCAGTCCAAATTAGCAATCTTTGAACAAGTTTCTGGCGACCCTTTGCATTCTTGAATATATGCCAACGTTCCACACTAGAGGGATGATCATTAATTAGGTGGGTGCGGGTTTAACTTAAGACTTCCTTTTTTTTCTTTTTTTTTGCCATTGAAGAATTCATACAAAAAAGTGTGTTATTTTGTGAGTTAAAAGACCATGTGAATTAATTCGACCGAAAAACATCAATCGATCGGTTAGTTAATAATTTGGTCTGATTTCATTCAGTCGTAACTAATCGATTTAAAACAATATTATTTCTAGATAAATAAACAAATGGTTTATCTGAAATATGAATATACGATAACATAATGTAATAATGTAGCCGACAAAAAAAAATAAAATAAAAAATAATAATGTAATAATGTATCGTGTTTGTGGTTTCGATTTGAATTCATAAGTGACTAGAAATACTAATCACTCGTAAAGAAGAGTAGACTCCTAACCGAACCAACCAAATGTAAGCAAACAAAACTCTAGTACTTTAAAAATCAAACTAACCAAATTCCACTAAAACCAACGTTAAACCGGAATGTCAACTATTTTAGCGCGTGAAGTCAAGCAGAAATGGGACACACACAAGTCTTGGAGTAAAACCTTCAGCGGAAATGGCTTTTGTCAAACCAAACTAAACACAATGGGCGCCACAGTGACCACCTTTAGTTGACCTTGACTTTTTTTTTTTTTAATCCTTTTCTTTTCTTTTACTTTTTTTTCTCCTCCTAAAACATTTAATTGGTTTTTAGAATTCGATTGCTTTCTTTCTGAATTATTTCTTCTTCTTCATCTAAGTTTCTCCCTGACTAATTTTCTTCGAGCATTTAATATAGTATTCACCGAACATTGCTACATAAGAAATTTTCAAATGATCAAATTAAGAACCCTATAATGAATGACATAACATTGTTGTCAGAAATTATTTTTCTGTATGGTACATATGGACCATCTGACACCAGGCAGTACCAGGTGAATAATTTAAACAAATTATTACTGTTTTATTTCTTTCTCAAAAAGACTTAATTATTTCGGCTGTGACAAATAAAGATGATAATCTTTTTTTTCTCTGCCTTTTTAACTTAATAAACGCTAGTATATAATATATATATCATGAGATATCTGTATTTTTGCTTATTTTCATTTCAAAAAATCCTCAAACGCCAATAATTCGAATATTCCATTCCATTAAATTTGTCTTCACGTTAGACGAGGAGAGTTTGAATAAAATATGCGCTCAAACATGATTTAATTCATTTGCATGGATTTTTTTGGTTTTGATAAAATTTGGTGCTGGATTTTTTTGTTGAAATTTATCTTCATCTTTTTTTTTCCTTTGAGAAAACCCACGGGACCATCTTTTTCCCCACTTTTGTTTTACAAAATTAGTTTCTATCTTTTATCTTATTCGTACAAAATATCCTATATTTTCTTTTTATAAAAAAGATCTTGTCTTTATCAACTTTTACTACGACGTTTATCATTTTAAAATCCACCCCAAAATGTCATATTCGTCCCTTTGTCCTTGAATTTTATATCACTGTTCTAGCAATTAGTATCTTTCATTTTACACAGATTTCTCAGAAGTTTGACAATTATGTTATTTTGGAATTTCGCAGTGAGTTTGAAATTATGAAAGTCCCATTTGGTTGTGTTAAAAATGTGGGAGGTGTACAGGGGTAATTTAGGAAGTTTGGGTTATGATAATCATATGCAAATCTTAGTTCAGAATTCAGAAGTACCGCGAATCTGGGAAAAGAACAAGCCCAGCTTTTTAGAATTACCTTTAGCACCCTTTATTTTAAACTATTTCTTTATTCTCCTTTACCTTTTTTTTTAACCAATTTTTGCCTCTTTCTCTTCAATTCACTAAAAGCTAAAAATTTTATGGAAACCAAATTAACATTAAGTAAGATTGAAGAAAGAAAAGGAGTATTTTAAAATTGCGTACATATGAATCTATCATATAAATTTTGAACCTATCCTAATACCATGGATTTGTATATGTGAACAATAACAATACTTTCAAAATCAAAAAAGAAAGTATATGGATAAGCATTCCACGTAACTAACAGTGCATAGTTATGTTGTTTCTAGATAAACAAAATCTAAAAAAAAAAAAAAAAAAAAAAGATAAACAAAATCTTTGCGTGGTCGAAATTGAAAAATAAATCTTTATATCTGTAAAGAAAAATTTGAAGTCACGTTATAAGAAAAAACCATGCTGCATCCCATGAAACAAATTAATTCCAAGAACATTATCCAAAACGAATTTAATGTTATCCAAATAGATCAAGAAAATTAGTTGGACCGTCTAATGAAATGCGATCCTTGCTGATTAGCACATGACGTGTTCATTTAATTTTGCCACCATTCCACCGACCTCAACTCTTCTTTTTTAGTAAAATTTTATGTTATCATATCCTAATCTATTAACGTTATGGTTATTTTGAAGTATTTGCTTTCATAAAAGGAAAATTGATAGTGAATATTTCCATGATATTTGACGTATGAACTGATATTAGTCAAATTACGGGTACAAAGTACAGTAGACAG